TGCGTCTGATGATCTTCTTTATGTATGACACGTAATACAGACTGAATCTTATGAACTTCATGTCCTTCCGACTGAATCTGTTGATCTTCATGTCCTTCCGACTGAATCTTATGATCTTCATGTCCTTCCCACTGAATCTGTTGATCTTCATGTCCTTCCGTCTTAATCTGATTATCTTCAGTATGTTTGACACGTCCTTCCGACTGTATCTGATGATCTTCAGTATGTTTGACACGTCCTTCCGATTGAATTTGATTATCTTCAGTATGTTTGACACGTCCTTCCGATTGAATTTGATTATCTTCAGTATGATTGACACGTCCTTCCGACTGTATCTGATGATCTTCAGTATGTTTGACACGTCCTTCCGATTGAATTTGATGATCTTCAGTATGTTTGACACGTCCTTCCGACTGAATTTGATTATCTTCAGTATGTTTGACACGTCCTTCCGACTGAATTTGATTATCTTCAGTATGTTTGACACGTCCTTCCGACTGAATTTGATTATCTTCAGTATGTTTGACACGTCCTTCCGATTGAATTTGATTATCTTCAGTATGTTTGACACTTCCTTCCGACTGAATTTGATTATCTTCAGTATGTTTTACACGTCCTTCCGACTGAATTTGATTATCTTCAGTATGTTTGACACGTATTTCCGACTGAATTTGATTATCTTCAGTATGTTTGACACGTCCTTCCGACTGAATTTGATTATCTTCAGTATGTTTGACACGTCCTTCCGACTGAATTTGATTATCTTCAGTACGTTTGACACGTCCTTCCGACTGAATTTGATTATCTTCAGTATGTTTGACACGTCCTTCCGACTGAATTTGATTATCTTCAGTATGTTTGACACGTCCTTCCGACTGAATTTGATTATCTTCAGTATGTTTGACACGTCCTTCCGACTGAATTTGATTATCTTCAGTATGTTTGACACGTCCTTCCGACTGAATTTGATTATCTTCAGTATGTTTGACACGTCCTTCCGACTGAATTTGATTATCTTCAGTACGTTTGACACGTCCTTCCGACTGAATTTGATTATCTTCAGTATGTTTGACACGTCCTTCCGACTGAATTTGATTATCTTCAGTATGTTTGACACGTCCTTCCGACTGAATTTGATTATCTTCAGTATGTTTGACACGTCCTTCCGACTGAATTTGATTATCTTCAGTATGTTTGACACGTCCTTCCGACTGAATTTTATTATCTTCAGTATGTTTGACACGTCCTTTCGACTGAATTTGATTATCTTCAGTATGTTTGGCACGTATTTCCGACTGAATTTGATTATCTTCAGTACGTTTGACACGTCCTTCCGACTGAATTTGATTATCTTCAGTATGTTTGACACGTCCTTCCGACTGAATTTGATTATCTTCAGTATGTTTGACACGTCCTTCCGATTGAATTTGATTATCTTCAGTATGATTGACACGTCCTTCCGACTGAATTTGATTATCTTCAGTATGTTTGACACGTCCTTCCGACTGAATTTGATTATCTTCAGTATGTTTGACACGTATTTCCGACTGAATTTGATTATCTTCAGTATGTTTGACACGTCCTTCCGACTGAATTTGATTATCTTCAGTATGTTTGACACGTCCTTCCGACTGAATTTGATTATCTTCAGTATGTTTGACACGTCCTTCCGACTGAATTTGATTATCTTCAGTATGTTTGACACGTCCTTCCGATTGAATTTGATTATCTTCAGTATGATTGACACGTCCTTCCGACTGAATTTGATTATCTTCAGTATGTTTGACACGTCCTTCCGACTGAATTTGATTATCTTCAGTATGTTTGACACGTCCTTCCGACTGAATTTGATTATCTTCAGTATGTTTGACACGTCCTTCCGACTGAATTTGATTAACTTCAGTATGTTTGACACGTCCTTCTAACTGAATTTGATTATCTTCAGTATGTTTTTGACGTGTTTCCGATGTCATCTTAAATATTAGCTGTCTTTAATCACTTATTGTTACTCAAGTCATTTAGTTAAAGTAATATTCAACAACAGCGCAGACATCGAAAAACAATTGAATATCATAGTATGAGTTCCCATCAAATAAGGTTTATTATTTAATGGGTGTGTGTTTGATGATTTGCTTATGTTAAAAACTTATAAATAATAATCTCTATTAAGTATTTTATGTTAAAACTCTTTATTTAGATATAACAAAAATAACTTTAAAGCATATTTTCAAATTCTAAATTATTGTTTTTTTTGTGTATATTTTGAAATAAATAAAAGCTTATATTTAGTATATTGTATAGAAAATTATGTTTATTTAAGAAATAATGTGAATTTTAAGATCACATAAGCAATAAACTTATTTGTTATATACATTGTATAGAAAATATCAAAAAATTATCTATTTTTGAAAATAGTGTTTATAAATTTATGTTTATTCTTCTTATAAGCTTAGAAATGTTTATGTTAGTTGTTTTTAATGGTTTTAATTTGAATGTTAGAAATAGAAGTGATAGCAAATATTTCTAAACAAATTTTATAATTCATTAGTTTTTTTTTGAAAATAATTTATTATTGTAAATTGAATAAGTATTTTTTTTGTATGACCCTCAATGCATTTAAATAGACACAAAAAAAATAATCGTAAAACAACACTATAATCTTTTAGTGTTAATTTTTGAAATAAAATTTATATATTTTAAAAATTAGAAAAAATGATTTCGTTTGCTGATACGTTTATACAGAGCAAATTAACTTTTTTTTTTTTTTTTGAATTTTAAACTAAAAAAATTATATAATTCAACTAAATAAAATAAATTTACTTACTTAATGATTTACAATGATTTAAAATTTAGGCCATTTTAAATTTTCTTTTTTTTCTTTCTCTTTGGGCTTACCTGTAGTCTAAATAGTTGGAATGGGGTACTATTGGGCATTTTTATCCCTGCTTCTGATAAAAGAGTCGACTGTGTCCTTGGATCGGCCTTCCTCTGGCCAAACATCGTCGGCTTCTTGTATGGCCCGCTTCCCTCGTCTAGCGGCCAATCGTATGTCTCGTTTCGCGGTGGGCGGTCGTCCAACCAATCAGCATCCGCTGATCGCTCGGCGAAGTAATAAATTAGACTGAATTTGCTCGCGACTTTATCTTTTATTTTGACACCAATAGATAATTCACATCACATTACAACAATTATAAAATAATAGATATGTGGGATAACAACTGTAACCGGTAATTGTTACTTAATGCAGAATAACTTCACAACCAACCTACTGTTCACTGTTCCTCCACCCATATATATACCCGACCGTCAACTGAATCGTGCGCATCGATTCAGCTGTCGGTCCGAATACATATATGGGATAAGATCGCATACCTTACTATATATGTCTACAATTAATAACAACAGTTATTACGCAACAAATACCGTTACAATATAAATGAATTTACAGTACGGTATAATACTTGTACTAATATTGTAGTTTAAAAAATATGATAAATTTTTTAATAAATTGATCAAATATTATAAATGACTCGATTATATTATAGATAAATGACACCATTATTTGTATTTCACACATCCATATGAAAATGTATTATTAATTTTTTTTGATGACAACTATTGATGAAAATATTGTACAGTAATATTGTCTTTGTGTATACTGTACTTGAATTATACGATTAAATTTTCCTCCAATTGTTAATATGATTAACACATTATTATTTCAATAGTTTTGTTTTGCAAACAAACAAAAATTATTAATACAATAATAATAATAATGTAAATCATGTTATGAAATCAATATAAAAAACTGATTATATAGTACTATTGTATAAATAATTGATAAATTTGCATAATATAAACATTATTTTATTTAATATAATCTAAATAATCAAATCACATATTTATTTATTTTTTACAAAAAAAAATTATTTGAAAACTATATAATAACAACAATGAATTAACAATAAACTTAACTAATTAAAAAAAATGACAAGAATAAAACAAATAGAAAATTAAAATTATTCGCAAATTTGTGTCAATTGATAATATATAAACAGTATATATATATATGCGGTATATATAATATAAATTATATAATTCAAAAAATTTGTCAACATTTAAATAGAAATTAATTTAAATGTTTATATAAACTTTGAAAACAAGATTATATAATATAATTGCTAATCCAGATTAAAATAACAAAAAAAATACATCTAATGTAAGCTAATATATGTATTAGCTTTAATAACATTTTAAAATTACATTTAATACCTACAATGTCATGTACTGTGTTTATTTAATAAAAAAAATTCAATATTATAATATATATTATATATAATAATATATAATCCATAAAGTGAGCATTTACTGATAAAATTTAAACATTTATATACAGTACATTCAATAACTTTCAATATCAATATATTATAGATTTACAATAATTCAATTATCTACTAATTTTTTTAAATGAATTTCTATCTCACTATTATATAATTTTAAAAAAATAATAATACAGTTAATCCAATTGAGCTAATTTAAAATCAATTAGATTTATAATAATATATTGATATTTATTATTAATTATTCTTATTAATAATTAAATTATTTGCTAATAGTAGATATTTTTGTCATTAAAAAAATCATTATTCATGTTTTGAAATGGAATATATATATATATATGTCGAAAAAAAATTTTAAAAAATAGTTAACAAAACTAAAAATTTAATTTTAGAAAAATTTCGGAAGTAATTTTTTTTTTGATTTAAAAAAATTTGGCTAACACTTGGCTAATAATAATAATATGCCGTATAATAAAAACCATATTTATACAAAAGCTATTACCAGGTAAATAGTGTTTCCTAAAATGTTTGCGCTTTAGTTATAATAATACAATAATTTCATGTATTATAACAATAAATAATAATCTATAATTTACTGAACTTGGAATGTACTGTACTGTACTAGAAATTGGTAAATTAAAAAAAATATAGGTATATATATATATATATAAATATCACTAACAATTTAGTAAACTATACTAGAAACAAATTTACCTTGATCACACAATTTTTATAACTAATCTACTAATCGGTAAAATGCTCACTAAAATCAATAAAAATAAAATCATGAGACCATTAGGTAGAGGATCGTTGACTTTTATTCAACGATTGTTGTTGTCTTAAATGATATGATTGAAAACAATCGTTGGCCCGTTTGGTCTCATTTTGTTTGTGCAAAACAACGCACAGATTGTGCATTGCCTCTACATTTGACTCGTTATACTTCAGCACCTGTCCATAGCTCTGTCGAAAAAAAATTACATCAATAATTATTTTAATTTAATCATTTTTAAAAAAATATATATCATTTACCTGACGAGCCCTTTCCAAGTCATTCAGATGATTGACATAGAGATTGCCAATTAATAGTAGACTTTTGGTATTATCGGGATAGTAATCAATTAGACGCCGCAAATAGGCTTCGGCCTCATTATAATCGTAATTATTTAAGAAAATTAGCGCCAAATTAAATAAAGCACTTCTAAAGTTTGGCTTCAATCTGACAGCTTCTTTGAGGTAATGAATGGCCATTAAGTTATCGCCCGAATCGGCAAACAATAGTGCCAAATTATAGTAAACTAATTCGGTTTCGGTACCGGTATAGCTCATCATCAGATCGATCAGTGTCTGTCTGTATGAACTCAAAATCGACTCATGCTTCTGGAAAAGTATAGCCAAATTAACTATCGACTCCTTATGATTGACATTAATAACAGTTGCATTCAAAAAATAATCGGCAATCAGTCGAACAGTTTCGGTCCGCTTGTCGGACATGTCGTCCATATTTTTTAGTATCATTGAGTGAACGACACCTAAATTGAAATAGAGATCAGCCTTGCGGTCGATTCGGTTTAACAAAAGTCCGTTATGATAGACATCTATAGCTTCCGATAGTTTCGATTGCCTTATGAGGACATCACCTAAATTAATGTATGCTTCGATAAAATCTGATCGCATTTGTATCAACTCTTTGTATAACTATTTCCAAGAAAGACAAACAATAAAATAAATGTAAAAATTAATTCATTAGAATATATATATTAAATCGTTTGTGTGTTTACTTACACTTTCGGCTTCGGAAAGTCTGGTCTCATTGCGGACAATAATGTTGGCTAAATTGATCCATAAATTCAGATAATTCGGTACAATTCGGTTATTAATGGCCGACAGTTTTACTTTTGGCTTCAACTTCCATAACATTTGTTCGGCTTTCGATTGCTGACCCAAATTGATTAGAGTCCGCGCGATATTGATCTGTGAGCCCAAGTCGTCTATCTGTTGGTCGGCCGCCTTCTCGAAGTACTTCAGCGCTTCTTCATATTGTTTTTGTCGCTCGTAATGGTGTCCGATATTATTATAGAGTTTTGCGTTGTTTTTATTCACTTTGATTGCTGACGAAAACAGCGACAACTCGTCACTCCAGTCTTCGTTTCGCGACTGAGTCTTCAGACAAAACATTGCTATTGTCAAGCAATAGATGATTAATAAAAACTTTTTAATTTTAAGTCTATTAAAGTAGCGATTTTCGATGGCATCGATACCGATGGCCATCAATAGTGAGTAACCGGTACTCGGAATATAAAGTGTCCGCTCGGCGATCACAAAACCGACCGGAAAGACGAGGTTCGACGCCGGTATAAATGGAAAGACTATCAATGATAATGCAATTATCAGACAATGGTTTCGGTAGCGAAACAAATTGACTAGAGATCTGATAGCTAACAATATGAATACTGTATAGAAGATAAGTGTCCATATGTTTCGCTGGTCATAGATATCACTGATCAATACGATGGACTTCATTGTCCAATCGCAACACAAACGAAACGGGTATAACATTAGCCACGAGTTCAGTGATAATAAATAGTTATAAGTGAGTTGTCGGGTCGGATACGGCTCAAATGAGGCCGGATTATCAAATTTGGTAAACACCGGGAACTGGTTGGGACCGCCCATTATATAGATACGAAAGGCCAACAAAATTGAGGCAAATATTGTCAATAATGTTGTTATGAATAGTGACTTCTTTATCGATGAGTTAGGTGGCGGTCGCCGCTGAAAACATTTGGTCATTTCATAGGTAACACAAACGGCTAATACAGTCAAACCTTGTTCTTTGCTTAGTATCGCACAGATTACCGAAACAACAAATATGTGATACTTTGAGTTCATATAAGCCATGAGTGATATGAGAAAGAATACGGTGGCGAGTAGTTCGGCCCGACCGACAACACCTGTCACCTGAAAACAACCAAAAAAGTTTAATCAATTAATCTTCATATGATATATCAAAGACTAATTTTTTAAATATATAATTACGGCTTCGGTTTTGAGCGGATGAACGGCAAAGAAAATGGAAGCCATTAATGATATTCTTCGAGAACTAAGTAATTGTAGCGAAAATCGATGGTAGAGTTGAGTGACCAGCAAATGAAGTAATACGTTAACGATATGATAGCCGTACGGTTCGAGACCATTAACCAAATAGTTGAGCCGAAATGTTAGGACAGTCAACGGCCGATAGGATTTGTGGCTGTGTTCGCTGGCAATATCGGTACCCCAGTAGTCGGTGCCGAACACCGACAGCCAAGTGGTCTCATTGGTCCGGATGTGACGATTGTTGACAATGGCCGAGACGTCGTCGAAGACAAACCGACACTTCCAGGCGTTCATATAGACGGCCATCGATACGATGGCCAACAGTACGGCATCCGAGTAAGCGGTGGAAGACATCTTCGGCCGGTCGGGGGTTATCACAGACAGCGATCAATAAATCAATGACAACGACAACAACAACAACAATACCTCTTCATTTGCGGCGACAATAATAATCAATCACTGGATCTGTTGTGTCATTCAGTCCTATCAGTCATTCAATTGATTACCAAAAAACAAAAAATGTTTGAATTATTGAAACATTTATTAATTACTTGTTGTTATGTTATATCAGTCTAATAGCTGTCTAAATATATAAACGAATAGTAAATATCACATAAAAAATTTTATTATTATTTTTTTTTGAGTCAAATATTGTTTTGTTTTTATTATTATTAATATTTACTTTTTAAGTGACAATCGGTTTGTGTGTTTCAACAAAAAACACGTGTATTTCAATAGCACTGACAGTTATACAGAGAGAAAAATCCATGAATTATGTCATCAAAAAAAAGATATTATGTATAGAAGTCTTAGATTTGTTTGTTTGTCTTAAAGCTGTTCCCAACGCTATTTTCACTGGACTTTTAGACATTATAACTAATCAATTGATTGATTGAATTGAAAAATTTTCATCAAAAAAAAATATTAATATTATTTCTTATTTTTTTAAAAACAAAACAATATTCACATAATAATTATATATACAATAATATTCTTGAATTTTATGGTACAGAATATATCAAACTTTTTTTTGAAAGCGCTAAGAATAGGATCAGTTGTTGTTGTTGTTGTCCATTAGGTCTTCAAAAAAAAATCATCAAATCATCAGTAGTCGAGTTGTGGCAGAGGAGGCTTACCCAGTGGTCGGCCCTTCATTGCCGATGAATTGGTGTTACTTTTTGGTCGCGATTTCTTTATAAAAGAGCTGACATATAGTGAGGCACCGAATGTCGGACGCATACCTTTAATACCTTTAATACTTTCTGATGTATAGACTGCCGGCACCTGAAGTAGATTACTATTGTCAATGAATCCCGAATCGGGTGACGCCGACAGCGATCGTTGGCCAGTAGCCGACGCCGCCGCCGACGGCGGTGCCATCGAATCGATGACCATCGACGACGGGTCGTCCGTTGATATGATTTTGTTGGAGTTGTTGTTGTGACAGAGGACAGCAATAATAATGGCCACAACCAATATGATGACCACCGATACGGCACAAGACATGACTATGAGTTCTGTTTGAAAGTCGACTCTATGTTCGCCAGACATCCGATGATTATTATAATTATTATCACAAGTATTGTTGAAATCACTAATGTTTTTACGCAATGATTGGATCCATTCGTAAATCATTTGTGGTTTTTTTTATTTGTTTGAAATTATGATATATTTTTATCAAAAAAAATTTATATAGAATTTTTTTACAACAAAATGATAGAATCGTTAGAAAAATGTATAACAAGTTTGAAAAATATTTTTATTATTAAATTTTTGAAATGTTTATTAATTCATTTTTGTTGGGTCGAAATGTTTTAGATTTAAAAATAAAATTTTTGATAAAAACTTAATGTCAAGGATTGGGAGTGAAATGAATATGTAATCACAGAAACATTTTATTGAATGTAAAATACATTGAGTTTTATTATTATTATTATTAGTGTTTTTTTATAATAACAATATTATTTGAAATCAATAATTTTTTTTCGTGTGTCCTAATTATGCATTCATTATAGCAAATTATATGCAAAATTATTTCTCATCAATTTGTTTAAAAGCATAACGAATTACTGATAACAATAATTATTATATGTATTAATATATAGTATTATATATCATTAATAACTAAGCGATTAATGTAACGATTTAAATATTATTAAATTTTATCGATTAAATAGTAAATATCATATATACAGTATTATATGATATATAATTTTTTTTTTATAGTAAACATATTCTTGTTATTATAAATTAATTTTTATTTAATTAAAATTATATTTTTAAAAATAAGTTTTTTTCTGTAATACTAAAATTAATTATATTTATTAGATTATCTCTGTTGATGTTAAATAAATGTTAGATAATAAATATTTATTTTTAAAAATAATTATATCTATCTATAACTAAATTAAATCTATAATCCAAACATAATTTAATTTAATTATGCTAACTTTGATGATATATAATTTATATTATATTATAAAATTTTATAATTTTAATAAATAAAATAAAGTACATTAATTTATGATTGTTATTTTCTTATTATTATTGAAAATAGTTAAATGTAATGTAATTTAAATTGCAGTACTTAGTAATTAATCAATATTTATCATATTTTCTTTGAAAAAAATATTAATAAATTTATGTTATTTGATATTATTATTATTACTAATATTTTATGCAAGTTTTGTCGTACATGCATAAGTCATGTAAATATAAATATGATACTGTATTAAAATTTAAAAAAGCTAAAAATATTAAAAGTGAAAATATATGATAAATTATTTAATATATGAAAAATAAAATAAAAATTTTATTAAAATGAGTCAACTATTTATTTCATTTTAAAATAATAATATTAATAATAACAACATTAAAATAAATGATTTGCAAAATATAAATGTTGCATGCTAAAATGAAATCAATGAATAATTGTGTGGTGAGGGGTGGGGGGGGCGGAGCCGCACATCTCCTTTATAATAATAAAAATTATTATTACATTATAAAATTACTTTATCTAAATCACATAAACCTAGCTATTAATAGATCAGATAATTAGAATTATAGGTACAATAAATTAATTGTTTTTGATTTACAAAAAAAAATTAGAGTAACTATAAGTTAAATAAAGAAATTTGTAAAAAAATAATTTAGTTGATTTAATCAAACAAATTTTTAATGCTTTCAAATAAAACAAAAATTTAGATAAAAATAATTTAATTTATTTATTATATAAATTAATTCTATAAATGATAAATTGCTATATCTGTATTTTTAATAGCGACAATGGGATTAAATTGTAATAATTTATACTATAATGTAATTGTATGAATAGGCAATTGTGTCGTTATTGTTAAGTCAAGTCAATGAAAGTCGTGAAAATGAAAAGTTATATTTGATAAAAATTTTTTAATACCGTTTGAAGTCGTATTTAACATGATTTTTAAAGTTTATTTTTTTACGAAAACACGATTTTTGTCATTAAATAATGAGTAAAATACAAATAAAAGTTAAATAAAAAAAACTTTGATTTAATTCTTAAATCTAAATAATAACAATAATAATAAATGAATAAACAAAATGAATAAATATAATAGTTTTTTTGTTAAACTATTTCAATGACAACTATATAATCAAGATTTAATTTAATTTTTCTAACAAACTTACACTAATTTTTTATTAACTTTCAATTATACTGCAATTCATAACATTCGTGTAAATAAAAAAAATAAAATAATTATTAAAATTATCATTGTCAATTAATTAAAATTAAACTACAGTATAGTACTGTACTATCTATACATGATAATAATAGATAAAAATTAATTTGTTACAGTTTTTTTAAATTTTAATGTTTAAAATATGTAAATTATTATTATTATTATTTTAATACTGTATTATTAATAAGTTTAATAAATAGTTAAAACCTTATATTAATACCTAATATTTAATTAGTAAAAACTGATTACATTATCATTTTAATTGAAGCATTTAATAGCAATTTATTTAATTCTATTTAAATTAATATTGTATTCAATTTTGTATAAATATTGAATAATAATAATCATAATAATAATAAACTATAAAATATATTTTACAATAATATTGTATGCATTAATACCTTTATATACCTGTATATGAATTTAAATGAAACAATTTGCTTATAACATTGTATACAAAAAAAAATATAAAAACATTTTATTATATTAGCTTATCAGTATATTAAATTATATTGATATATTAAATTAAATATCAAATATTGCTAAAAAAGATAATATATTAAGTCTAAATTGAAAAAAAATTATACAAATCATTGATATCATAATTATATTATATAAAAAATACAGCCAAGACATGTCAATTGTTATGATTTATATATAAAAAACATAATAAAATATATTTTCATAAATAAATCATTTTTTTGTTAATTGTCTCAATCACTTGAATGATGAACAACGTGTGTGTCATAACTTTGATGGTGGGAACTGTCGTTATGGCCGACGGAACTGCTGTTGTCGTGCGTTGAATGGCTATTATTATAGCCGGAGCTGTTATGATGTGCTGATCCATTGTGATGATCACTATTGCTGATCACTTCCTGAGACTGGTGCTCATGATTATGGTTTCGATGATCATTGCCTTTATTATTATCATCAGTTTCATGATAACCAGTTTCTTGGATCAGACTGGGAACCAGATTGCTGTCGGGAACGCCTATAGAATCAGTACCTCTTCGGCTACTTTTCTTGTTCGACGATTGTCTGTCGCGATCCATCTCATGCTTCTTCGCATTATATGATCGACTTTTACCACCAAAACAACTGAAGAGACCCATTGAGTTAGTCCTTATGTTTAGAGAAAACAAAACAAAACAAAAAAAAAACTTAAATTAAAAACAAATATGTTTTTTTCAACAAAAAACTATTTAAAATAATAATTTATTTCAAAATAATGTATTATTTTTAGAAATATTTTGTTTTCAATAATTCTAATAAAAATATATTATAATTTTTAATAACAAACACACATACAGTATATATATTTTCAATAAATATGTTATTTATTAAATGAAATGATTTTAATTGACTGATTGTATGTCACAAACAAACATTAAGTTTTTAATTAATACTTTTTGTTGGCAATAGCGGAGAATCGTTTCTTTTCATCCATATTTTCATAACAAATATAAAAAACTAATTAATAATTGTAATGTATATATATATATATATATATATATATATATATACAGAAAATAACTTTTTATGATATTATATTTATATTCAACTTTTATATATACAGTATTATGTTATGATTGAATTACAATATTAATGATTACAATATCAACTCAATCACGGATTTATAATAATTTTATTTTATTTGAAAGTAGAGTCCATTGAAGGCATAATTTTATGGCACTTTTATATTGTAAATATTAATATATACAATATATATAGTCATTATATATATATAATTTTATTACTTTGAATAATGTTTAAGTTGTGATTTATTTATACATACTTATAGTAATAAGTGATAACAAAAATAAGGTACTTCTTATAACATAAAAAAATAAAGTTTATTTCCGACAATAAATTTTCACTAAAAATAAAAATTTTTCAATAAAGATATCGTTGCGATGACTAAGACAAGTGATAAGTTGTATATATATTTACAATATATATATAATATGCAAACAAAATATTAGAGTAATAAACAGTGCTCTCAAAGCAATCAATTAAAAATAATTTTTGATAATATATAAGGAATTTCACTGTATTTCAATGCAAATTCAAAAAAAAATTCAAGGTTTATACTTATGTTTTACTGTAAAGTTTTTCTAAGTTTACAATTAATTAAAATTATACTATTATTTAATATCATTACTGAAATCATTATTATTAATATTCATAAACAGTATGGCATAAAACTATAGCTGTTTTTTTGATTGCAATTTCAAAAATTTTTATTTTCATGTTTGTGAATATTTATGATAGTATTTACCAAGAATATTGTATACACATATTTAATATTATTATGTATGATATTATTATAAATAAATATATATATATTTATTTGATTTCAAATTAATTATGAAAATATTTTCATCTATCATTTTTGTTGTTGTTGTTGTTGATAAACTAATAAAATGTATAAAAATAAAAATACACTATAAAATAGACACAATAGTTAAACTAAAATAAAAACTTTTAATGCAATGTTTTTTTGATAAAAATATGTTTTATAGCGATTTAATATTTGGCTTATTGTTTATGGTTTATTTACTCAAATCATTTTTTTGTATTTACTAATAAATTATGTTTTATTTGATAATATTAAGCCTGGCCAATTTAATTTATTGTAGTTATACGTGTGTTATTTAACTTATTTAAAATTTTAATGACAGTTAGTTAAATATTTTGTTTAAAGGAAATAATTAATTACTGTATTAATATGATTCATATAAAATATATGTAATAATTATTATCATAACATATTAAATTAAAACCATATGTTTTCTATAGTATTGATTAGTAATAAATGATAATAATAATAATCAAAATATCATAATTGTTTATTACAATATATATAAAAAATATAATAGTTATGTTTGCTTACGTAAACATCAATATAGCTGATGATTGATAGCCGACAAAAATAATATAATTTCAAAACAAATAGTTTAAGTATTACACATTAATTAAATAAAACTGTATTAAAAACTATAAAAATTATATTGTTAAAAAATATATAGTTGTCTACTATAATATACAATAATGATAATAATAAATTTATATAAATAATTTTATCATTGTTGTTTATCGGATGACACATTCAAAAAAATAAATATAAAAACGCCTTTTTTAAAAAATAGTCTTAAAATTAATTTTATTGTTTCCTAAAAAATGACTATGATTTTGATGTTTGTGGGATTAATAGGCGTTATCTTAATATGGCATACAATTGAATTGTAAGGGCTTATCATATCATTAATGATATTTAAAAGAAACACTATTACTTATTATGAATTAATCCATAAAATACTTAATTTATATTATGTAATATAGTTAAAAACAATTATTTAATAACAATTTGTATTAATTTTTATCTATTGTAAAAATATATAACTATTGTCTATAAATAATATTCTTATTTTAAGTTAAATAATAATATTTTTTTGTTACCCTTATTGATAATAAAATAAAACTACTGTATAAGTTTTCTTTTAATTAATAACATTTAGACTATTTTGTTATTATTATAATTTAGATTACTAAAAATATAAAAAGTGTTAAATTTCTAGATTTATGGCAAAAAATACCAAAATAAATATACAGTAATATAAATTACAATATAATAAGATTTATTTACCATAAATGTTATTAACATTTACAATAGATTCAAGTGATGTAACATTTAATATATAGATATTTATAACAAAATAGAGAGAGAGAGAGAGAGAGAGAGAGAGAGAGAGAGAACTTCAAGGATAACATGTCTATGAATTTGTTATGACTTATCAATTATGTGTATTGTTTTTCTGTCATATATAAGTAATGTAAATCTCTTTGTCTAACAATTTATTAACAAAAATAAAATATTGCAAATAATAATAATACAAAAATTGATTTTTTCCAAATATAAATACAGTATATATATTGATTTAATACAATACAATATTTTATAGCCAAATTAAAAAGTTATAAATCAAACAAAAATAATAAGAATTATTATTATTATATAGACTTAAAAGGACATCTTATAACTAATAGACTAATAATCATAATTATTATTGATATAATATTTACACACAAAAAAAATTTTCCCATAATTTTAACAATTAAATATACAACAAAAAATATCACATTATTATTATTTATTTTGTTTTCAAATTATCATAAAGTTGTTGTATTCAAACAATTTCTTATCAATATTATTATTATTATCTTATGATTAATAATAACTATTGTATTGTATTTGTCATTCATTTTCAAAGGGTTTTATAGTTATCTTTTCTGTCGAAAAATTTGTTTCTTTGTCTGTAATGAAATAAAATAAAATATATTCACATTATTTATTATATGTTTTTCTTTGCAAGTATTGATTACTAAAAAAACAATTTAAAAGAAAAAAAATTGATTATATTTTATAAATTATATACCGATATAATGATCGGTGTAATCCCTGTCGAGATAGGAAACGACTCTTTTCTTTACTGATATTGTTGTTGTTGTTGTTGTCTTTGAATTGTTGGCAAAGTTTGCAACTTTTGTTGTCAACTGTTTTATTATTTGAATCCATTTTTTCTACTCTTTCTTCTTCTTCTTCGGCACAATATTTTTGACCAACAAATGACATACCAATCAAATACCACAACATTATTATTATTATTATTATTATTTCAATGTCTAATAATAATAATGAAAAAACTGTTATATAATTAGATTGTAATTATGTAAAAATTTTATGATAAAAATAACTATTCAAAAATTTTTTTTATTTTATTTTCGCTAAATTTATCAAAAATGTGTAAAATTTGGATTTTTTATGACCACTTTTATTAAGAGATAATAATAATAATAAAATTTGTAATAATATTTGTCAATTGAATAAATATATAAAATAAAATCGCACATTAAAATTAATATTATAATGTCTTGACTTAATTGACTAAACATAAGGAAAACATGTTATCCTTGAGTTTTCGTGATTTTTAATTAAAAATTGTTTATCAAAATTGTTATACAAATATAAAAAAATATATATAAGTTATATTAAGAAAGTATAAAAATATGTTTTTTATTTAATTTTATGATAAAAATCTAAAAATTACTCAGTTAGTAGTCTTAATATTTATTTTTATTTTTTAAAAATTAATTAATAAATGTAAATACAGCAATGTCTATTTATATATCAATATTATAATATAGTAAAAAAAAGTCAAACAAAAGTTTAAACGTTAACTAAATACACTGTATTTATATAATAATAATAATAATATAGTTTAAACTAATATTATTTTATTTATAATGTTTGAATTATTTAATTAATAACTATTTACTTTTGCTTAAACTCTGAAAAAAAATATTTATACATATAGTAACTACATTGTAGTTAATATTTTTTAAAAAAGGTAGTAACAAAAAAAATAATAGTAATAAATAAATGTTATAATTAAGAGTGAATTTTTTATAATCCAAAAAAATGTCGGAAAAAAGATTTACTTATTAAACCTACAAAATGTGTGATTGTTTTTAATATACAGTAATTTACAGTAAATATAAAAAAATGTATAATATTTTTAAGGAGACACTCCTTGAATGAGAAAAACTTGTTAACCTAACTGTAAATCATATGTTTTTTTTTTGTGAACAATTTGTTTAACTTTTAGAAATAAATTATTCAAAATAATACAAACAAAGTTAAAAACTTGAAAAATAAGTGTTGGCGGATTGGGTGCACTTTTATTATTATATATTATCATAAAATAAATAAAATTTTATGCTATTTAATATAATGTAAATTTATTTGTGTGTTTTAATTGTTACTAATAAATGTATTGTACTTTTAAACAAATAAAAAAAATGATAAGTATCTGTGGATAGTTAGTTAGTTTAGGGCTTAACCTTTTAATTATTTTTTAAAAATTATTTATAACAATATTATTGTATGTTAAACTACTACTACTAATAATAATTCATTTTATTAATTTAAAATCCTTATATTAATTTTTAAGTATAAAACTCATATGCTAAATAACTTTATAAATAATAATATAAATAAAACATTTATAAATATCATAATTTAAAAAAAAACAATTGATGATTAATATAGCAAATTAAATATTAATGCGTTTTTATTGTAAATTTATTTGTGTGTTTATAATTGTTACTTAATGTAATGTATTATTAAAAAAATAAGATAAATCATCTTAGTTTAATGTGTTTATTATAAAAAAATTCACTAGATTTTTTAAATTTGTTAAATTTTATAAATAAACATATGTAAAAACTAAATTTATTTTAAAATAAAAATATCAATACCTTAATAACTAATTAATAATAACTAGTTAAATTTTATAATCTTACTTTTTAATAACTATTAATTAAATAAAATACTTAGTCTTTAAATAATTTGTAAGTAATTTTATACAAATAATTATATATTAATATAATAATGCTATTTATTATTATAATATATAATATAAATAAATAAATATATTTTTAAAAATAATCTAAGTTTTTATATATTCTCAGATTACAATATATTTTTTTATTAACATATTTGTTTTTATCATATTTTATAATAATCAGTAATTGAATAAACTTGGAAAATTTACACCATTTTTTAAATATCAATTTATTATTGCTTCAAAATACTTATATAATTATAAAAAGTGTATATTATTTGTTATAAAAATGCTTTGTTTAGTAATATTTACGATATTCTTGACCTTAATTATTGATAGTAATTCAACCCAACGGTTGAATTCATCGGAAAATTTGGTGATTCAGTCAAACAATGAATTTTCATTCAGAATATACAATATGTTAGCAAAAGATGACAACAACGACATTATCTCTTCGTTTTCAATAATATCGGCATTAAGTCTGTTATGTTATATAATACTATATATTGTTATATAAAATACCAATTATTTTAAATATTAATTTTTTTATTGAAATATAATTTCATTGATAGGTATACTAATGATGGTATAGGTATAACAATAAAACACTCGACAATTTGAAGACATTTCTTGGATTTTAAAACAAACAGACAAATGAATTAATTAGTGATCAAACTATTAATAATGGATTTCAAACTATTAATAGATTGTATGAAAATAAAAGTAAAATTTATTTATTAAATTTAGATAACAATTGAAAATAATAATATACTATAAAATAAATTAGTAATAATAATATATTACTATTAATATAAATATTTATTATTAATATTTCAAAATAATAATATCATTATAATTATTTAATTGTCTATTATTTAGGCATTGAATATAAAAACTATTTGAATAAAACACACGAAAAAAAAGATATGATTAGAAACATAAGTTAAATATTGCAAATCTTGTCGTACGAAATGATAGTGAAGTACTTAAACAAGAGTTTGTGGACGCAATACAACTGGCCTTTAGAGCACAGGTAGATAGGGCTGACTTCAAGCACAATGCAGTGGCAGAGACTGACAAAATTAACCAATGGATCCGTAAAAAGACAAACAATAAAATACAAGAGATTTTGAAAAAACTCGATGCATTGACATCTCTTATAATTTTAAATACGATTTATTTTAATATATTAACAGTTTACAGTATATTAATTTTTATTATAAATTAATTATATATAATTTTATAAATAATTAGGTGATTGGGAGGAAAAATTTAAAGATCGGAGTACTAGAAAGTCTGAATTTTATAATAACGGCGACCAAAATAGTAATGTTTCGGTCGATACAATGTTTCGTCAAAGTTTTTTCCGTTACTTTAGTTCACAAGAGTTAAACTCACGACTCATTGAATTGCCGTATAAGGGATCGGAAATGTCTTTTGTTATTATATTACCAAATGATAGAAACGGTTTGTCAAAACTCAAGACACAGATAAATGCCATAAACTTTGACAAAGCATTCAAATCAATGGATAGAAAATATGTAAATTTATTTTTACCAAAATTTAAGTCAGAAAAAGAGTACGATTTGATGAAAGATATAAATCCCAAACCAATTGCATTGACCTCTGAATCAGATTTATCACGACTGTCCACTTCATGTGATAAAACCGTATCCCAAATCAAACACAAAACTTTTATATCTGTCGATGAATACGGAACCGAAGCGGCGGCCGTTACAGCTATTGTTATGAAGGGTCGTTCGGGTCATATAATTATTTCCCCACCGATTGAATTTCGTGTGGACCACCCGTTCCTATACTATATTATTGACAAAACTAATGGTATGATTATGTTTTCCGGATAAATCAATAAACTTTAAAATATTCTAAATCTATTTTCTGTGTATTTAATTGTTACTAAATGTACTGTACTTTTTAAAAAAATAAATAAATAATAAGTATCTGTGATCTGTGTATAATTGGTTTATTTAGTGCATAATCTGTTAGTTAATTTATGAATTTTATACTAATAATAAATAATACAATCTATTAATTAAGGATGTAATATTTAATTTTTAAATACTTAACTAAAACACTTGTAAATAAAATAATTTTAATAATTTTAAAAAATTTGATGATTAAAATAGCAAAATAAATAAAAATAAATCTAGAATTTATTTACAAAATATTAGCATTATTTTTGTTTATATAATTTAAATAATTACTACAACTAAAAACATATTGAATTTATACTTTAAGAATAATTATATTATATTTAGAAATTAATTTCTATATTATATACAAATATTATAAAAATATATTTAATTATTTAATTTTGTCTAAAATTGAATTCCAGTCACACTTTGAATCCACGGAATATATGTCGAAACTTTGGTATAAACAGCGGGACTGAAGGGTTGAGCGCATCCACTGCCGTATGAAGTGATGCCCTGAAGAATCCAAACACCGTTAGATAGACGACAGTTGAGTGGACCTCCACTATCCCCCTGACAGGTATCTCTGCCGCCCTGTCTATAGCCGGCACATACTTGAGTGTCCCTATTGAACGACGACTGCCATCGCCACTGACAAAACTGATTGTCCACAAGAGGTAGTCTAACCTCTTGTAAAATGTTAGGAAAGACTCCTTCGGGCCACAATAGACCCCAACCGGTGGCCACACACGAGTCGCCAATCGGTTGGACACCATTTGTAGGCAAACATATGGGTTGTAAATAACTGTGCGCTCCTTTGAGATCAAGTTTTTCGTTCAATTTTAATAACGCGATGTCGTTAGCAGTGGTACTCGGATTATATCCGTTTAGCATAATCTATGTCAACAACAATACATAAATTAATTATAAATTAAAAAAATATATATTTATAGTAAAAGAACCGGTAGTTTATATTTTAGTTACAACTGATAATGTCTTACTTGAGAGACATGTCGTACAACTTCTGTAGACTCTCTGCGGGAAACGTCATTCTTGCCAAACACTAACTGAATATCTTGTGTCTGCCGGCCCTCAACATTGGCCACACAGTGAGCGGCCGTCAAAACCCACTGATCGCTGATAAGAGTGCCGCCACATCGCGCGCCAATTATTTGACCGTTTTTTGTTTGTCGAATCGTCAACAATGCCATCCACGGCCAGGCCATCGGCGGCGATGACGTTCCGCCTACAATACGGTTTATATTACCCGAAAGACCGCATTTTTGTGTCCGCAATCTTTGTGATATTGACAACAATATTAGCAAAACTATGTTTAGTTTACTATAAAACATAATCACAAAAATACTATAATAAAAAAATATTCTTAAAATTATTATTTTTTTTAAATAACTATATATTAGTAAATTTTTTTGTGTATTTATATGTTTAATTGTGTTAATAGTTTTATTATAATAGTGACTAATTTGTTATTATTTGGTAATTATTTTTTATTGTAATCGTAAAACAGTTATTCATTGCCAGTATATAGTGATTAATCAATTGATAATTCCGTTTAGTTTTATAAAATAACATATGTTTAGTGTAATTGTACTTTTTGTATTTTTTTGTTATTTGATGTAATGATATAATTAATTATAATTTTTACTATTATACTAAACATTATACTGTATTAAAATTTATTGATAATCTATTTTTTTATACTTTACTTTACTGTAACTTTTATCTAAAATATAAATCTTATAGTATATTTTTATGGAAAATTTAATTTTTATTTTCTAAAAATATTAAATAAACAAAAATTATTTTGTTTTTAGTAATTATGATAATTAATCTTAGTGATCACAATTTTAAAATAACTTAAATATTGTAAGTTTATTTGTTTCAAAAAATATTTTTATATTAAGATTATTTTAAATTATTAATCAATATTTTAAAAAACAATTGTTTTTAGAAAAAATAATATTAATATGTTTATTATTATAATAATTATATCGAAACATTGCTCTCTACTTTCAGAAACACAAGTGTGTCGGTTGGGGTAGAAATTAAAAGTTTGTTTTTAAAATTGTTTTTGTAATTTTAAATATTATATAACTATAATGTTTTATATAACTATAATTATTAATAATTTTAGACAGTTATATAGTTGAAGGTGAGGTCAAAGATTACAATCCATTTTTTATTGAGAATCGCTGAACAAAAATATCTTTATTTTATAATATAAAAGATAATTAATCTAATATAAAACCAGCTGAGAATGCTTTAAAAGCATTTCCACACGAATTCCTTAACTTAAAAAGGAAAAAAAATTTTAAAAAATAAAAAAACAAGTTGAGAATGCTTCAAAAGCATTCTCATACGATCTCCTTAACTTAAAAAAGAAAAAAATCAAAAAAAATTTTGTAGCTGAGCCTGGATTCGAACCTATGTCCTCGTGGGACAGACAGACAGACGGACAGACGGACAGACGGACAGACGGACAGACGGACAGACGGACAGACGGACAGACGGACAGACGGACAGACGGACAGACGGACAGACGGACAGACGGACAGACGGACAGACGGACAGACGGACAGACGGACAGACGGACAGACGGACAGACGGACAGACGGACAGACGGACAGACGGACAGACGGACAGACGGACAGACGGACAGACGGACAGACGGACAGACGGACAGACGGACAGACGGACAGACGGACAGACGGACAGACGGACAGACGGACAGACGGACAGACGGACAGACGGACAGACGGACAGACGGACAGACTTTTAGAATGCATATACGTATTCCTTTCAGGAATTCGTGAAAAAAAAAATTTTTAATTTTTAGACGCCATTTTCTCTATGTTCCTGATGAAATATCAAAATTTCAATACTTATCCCATAGCTCATTTTTTATGCTTTATAAAAAAATAAAATTAAAAAAAAATCAAAAAAAATTTTGTAGCAGAGTCTGGATTCGAACCACTAATCTATGTGGGACAGACAGACGGACAGACAGACGGACAGACTTTTAGAATGCATATACGTATTCCTTTCAGGAATTCGTGATAAATGTATTTTGGTTTTATTAATATAATATACTAGTAATTAATACTCATATACTAATAATAATAAATAGTTTAAGTTACATATATGGTTATGCTAGTATATGTATAAAACATCCGCATATTATTTCAAAATTGCATTTAAATAAGTTATAAATTATTACAATTTATATTAAAATTATAATAAAATATTGATAATATAGCCATAGATTGAATATCATATCTCATTATGATTCCAGTCTTTTAAACAAATAGTTAGTTTTTACTTTATTTTAGTTTAATTAGTTATCTGATAAAGTTATTTTATGTCTATATGTTTAATCAGGGTTGCTAAAGGTTTTCGATTTCAGGGGGGGGGGGGGGGTATAGGGGGGGGGGGTAAAATGGCAAAATTTTCAAAAAAGCTTGGGGGGGTATAGGGGGGGTGAACATTTTTTATTGCATTTTTAAACGAGAATTTTTGCCAAATTTGAGTAAATTCCCATTAAATTCCCACTAAATTCCCATTAAATTCCCATTAAATTCCCATTAAATTCCCACTAAATTCCCACTAAATTCCCACTAAATTCCCACTAAATTCCCACTAAATTCCCAATAAATTCCCTATAAATTCACAATAAATTAACTAATAAAAATATTCTCAACTTAATTACTCAATACTAAAAATGTTTTCTAAATATTAAGAATTGCAAAAATATATATATATATAACTATTATAATTATAATTATTAAATAAAAATATTATTGTTTTAAAAAAATAGTTATTAATTAAAAAATTAATGATATAGTACTGATTTATTATAACGTTTTAATAATAATAATAATAAAAATAAAATTGGCAGAAATAATTATTAATTAGTTCTAATTAATTAATTTAATTTAAGAATATATCTTTTTTATTTATTTAAATTTATTAGTCTTTAGTATTTTATATTGAACCATAACTAACACATTTTAATATAAAGATTCTAAATTCCCACTAAATTTCCACTAATTTATCTATAATTTAACTAATAAAAATATTCCCAACTCAATTCTCAACACTCAAAATGTTATCTAAAATATTCATTTTTCAAAAATATAAAAAAATAAAGATATGCATAAATATATAACTATAATTATGATAATTAATTAAAAATACAATTATTTAGATTTAAAATTGGTTTTAATTAAAAAATTAATGATATAGTACTGTGTTTATTATAACGTCTTAATAATATTGTCAGAAATAATTATTTAAAACTAAATAATTAATACAACAATATTTTTTTATATAGTACTTCTTATTGAACTATAACTAATATATTTTTATAAAAAGTTTAAAAATATTAAAATATAATATAATATAAAATATAATGAATTTTAAAATTTATGCTAAAAATTTGTTTTCTACTTTTAATATGAAATAATATATATATATTCATTTATAAAGAGCTAAAAAATAAAATAAAATATATTTATTTATTTTTTTGAAAATTGGGAATTTATTAGGGAACTTTTTTCCCTTGTGGAGTGCCCCAACTCTATTTATGTAATATTTATTTAGTATCATAATTATAATTTTTAAAGCACATAACTAACACATTTTAATATAGTTTAAAATATTATCATTATTTTTTTTGAAAATTGGTGGGAATTTATTTTTTCCGTTGTGGAGTGCCCTAACTAGTGTAAATAATGTTAAATTGATGTAATTAAGTATTTTTATCTATTTATTTTGTATATATAAGCTATTAATTTATATTAAAACTAATTTAATATTTATTTTTATGTTTAATATAAAATTTTACATAGTCGAAAATTGGTAGGGGGCCCCCTAACTTTTTGGCTTCATGCCAGGTGGGGGGTAAAAGCCAAAATTTCTCCATCTCAGGGGGGGGGGTAAGACGTCTTACCCCCCTACCCCCCCTCCTTTAGCAACCCTGATGTTTAATGTTTATATAATTTTAGCATGATTATAACTATTTTATTACTATTTTAGTTATTCAATAACTACATTCATATAAGTAAAATTATAGGTGGGATCATTTATCCTAGTTTATCACAATTTGGTGAATCAAATCCCCAAAATCTCGATCTTAGGGGGGTCAGTTGGATTGACCCCCTACCCCTTACTTATATATATGAAATTAAATATATATTATTTATTATAAACATATTTTGTTTTTCATATTTTATAATAATATGTAATTAAATAAAGTTTGAAAATTTTCACCATTTTATAAATTTAAATATGAATTCATTATTGATTGAAAATAGTTATAATATAATTAAGTTATTTTATCAGTAATTAAAGCATAATTTGCAGATAATTTGATAAAAATGATAGTTTTAGTAATTTTGTCGATACTGTTAACAGGTTTAAAGGCTAGTAATTCAACCCAAGGGTTGAATTCATCCGAAAATTTGGTGATTCAGTCAAACAATGAATTTTCATTCAGAATATACAATATGTTAGCAAAAGATAACAACAACGACATTATCTCTTCGTTTTCAATAATATCGGCATTAAGTCTGTTATGTTATATAATACTGTATATTGTTATATAAAATAACTATTATTTTAAATATTAATTTTTATATTGAAATATCATTTTACTGATAGGTATACTAATGAACGGCGCAAATGACAAAACACTCGACAATTTGAAGACATTTCTTGGATTTCAAAACAAAAAGACAAATGAATTAATTAGTGATCAAACTATTAATAATGGATTTCAAACTATTAATAGATTGTATGAAAACAAAAGTATAGTAAATATAAATATTATTTATTAATTTCAAATTAATATAATAAATATATAATTGCTTATTATTTAGGCATTGAATATAAAAAGTATTTGAATGAAACACAAGAAGACGATCGTTATAATGAAGATTTGAAACACCAGTTAAATATTGCAAATCTTGTCGTACGAAATGATAGTGAAGTACTTAAACAAGAGTTTGTGGACGCAATACAACTGGCCTTTAGAGCACATGTAGATAGGGCTGACTTCATGCACAATGCAGTGGCAGAGACAGAGAAAATTAATCAATGGATTAGCAAACAGACAAACAATAAAATACAAAAAATATTTGACACAATCGATGGACAGACATCTCTTATATTATTAAATGCGATTTATTTTAAAGGTATTAGTAGTTTACAAATTTATAATTTTTATTATTAATTAATTATATATAAATTTATAAATAATTAGGTAATTGGGAGAAAAAATTTAAAGATCGGAGGACTAGAAAGTCTGAATTTTATAATAACGGCGACAATAATAGTAATGTTTCGGTCGATACAATGTTTCGTCAAAGTTTTTTTCGTTACTTTAGTTCACAAGAGTTAAACTCACGACTCATTGAATTGCCGTATAAGGGATCGGAAATGTCTTTTGTTATTATATTACCAAATGATAGAAACGGTTTGTCAAAACTCAAGACACAGATAAATGCCATAAACTTTGACAAAGCATTCAAATCAATGGATAGAAAATATGTAAATCTATTTTTACCAAAATTTAAGTCAGAAAAAGAGTACGATTTGATGAAAGATATAAATCCCAAACCAATTGCATTGACCACTGGAGCAGATTTATCACGACTGTCCACTTCATGTGGTGATCACACCGTAACACAAATCAAACACAAAACTTTTATATCTGTGGACGAAGAGGGGACTGAAGCGGCGGCCGTTACAGCCGTTACGTTAGGGAAAAAAAGTTCGGGTGATCGAAGTGAATCCAAACCGATTGAATTTCGTGTGGACCACCCGTTCCTATACTATATTATTGACAAAACTAATGGTATGATTATGTTTTCCGGACAAATCAATAAACTTTAAAACTGTTTTTCTTAACTACTAATCTAACAATAATGCAATTAAAAAAACTAATTAGAATTTCATTGATTTTTTTAATAAAAACTTTATTTATATAATAAAAAAAGTGCAACAAATATTTGTATTGTATTTTGCAGTTATTAGTGTTCATTAATTATAATTTGTGTCTTAATTCTGGTATTCAATTCAATCCAATGGCGATAACCGGAAACTTTAGCCAAATAAATACTTCGGGAACTACAGTACAACCGTATTCACTGCTAAATGAATGAATTGATTCAAACAATAAACACAAACACTGTTTAGTTAGCCGACAGTTAAGTGGTCCACAAATAGTCACAGTTATGATGACTGTTATCGCTCTTATAGTTAGCCGACAACTAATAGTTTTTGTTGTTGTTGTTGGTATTCAATGGCCAAATCTACTCCATATTGATTGACAATTATTATCATTGATCAGCACATCTACTGTTAAAAAAAGTATTTTTAATTAGTGCTTAATATATATTTATAGATATGTAAATTCAATATTTTTTATTAACATATTTGCTGTTATTTCATATTTTATAATTTTGTAATATTATAATATTAATAAAATAAAGTTGAAAATTTTCACCATTTTATAAATATTAATTTATCATTGTTTGAAAATTGTTATAATTTAATTAAGTTATTTAATTATTAATTAAAGCATAATTTGTAGATTATTTGCTAAAAAAATGATAGTTTTAGTAATATTGTCGATACTGTTAACCGGTTTAATGGCTAGTAATTCAACCCAAGGGTTGGATTCATCTGAAAATTTGGTGATTCAGTCAAACAATGAATTTTCATTCAGAATATACAATATGTTAGCAAAAGATGACAACAACGACATTATCTCTTCGTTTTCAATAATATCGGCATTAAGTCTGTTATGTTATATAATACTGTATATTGTTATATAAAATAACTATTATTTTAAATATTAATTTTTATATTGAAATATCATTTTACTGATAGGTATACTAATGAACGGCGCAAACGATAAAACACTCAATAATTTGAAGACATTTCTTGGATTTCAAAACAAACAGACAAATGAATTAATTAGTGATCAAACTATTAATAATGGATTTCAAGCTATTAATGGATTGTATGAAAACAAAAGTATAGTAAATATAAATTATTTATTTCAAAATAATATCATTATAATTATTAAAAATTTTTATTAATAAGGCATTTCATATAAAAACTCTTTGAATAAAACACATGAAAACAATCGTTATGATAGAGATTTGAAACACCAGTTAAATGTTGCAAATCTTGTCGTACGTAATGATAGTGAAATACTAAAACAAGAGTTTGTGGACGAAATACAACTGGCCTTTAGAGCACAGGTAGATAGGGCTGACTTCAAGCACAATGCAGTGGCAGAGACTGACAAAATTAACCAATGGATTAGCAAACAGACAAACAATAAAATACAAAAAATATTTGACAAAATCGATGAACAAACGTCTCTTATACTATTAAATGCGGTTTATTTTAAAGGTATAATAGTTTCAGTATATATTATATAATTATATAATATATTTATTTTATTTTTAACTAATTATAATTAAAAATATAACTAATTAGGTAATTGGGAGGAAGAGTTTAGTAAATACAGGACTATTAAATCTAACTTTTATAATAACGGCGCCGATAATAGTAATGTTTCGGTCGACACAATGTCTCGTACGGATAATTACTATTACTTTAGTTCACAGGAATTAAACTCACGACTCATTGAATTGCCGTATAAGGGATGGGAAATGTCTTTTGTTATTATATTACCAAATGATAGAAACGGTTTGTCAACACTTAAGACTCGGATAAATGCCATAAACTTTGATAAAGCATTCAAATCAGTGAAGAGAGAATATATAAATCTATTTTTACCAAAGTTTAAGTCAGAAAAAGAGTACGATTTGATGACTGCTATAAATCCCAAACCAATTGCATTGACCACTGGAGCAGATTTATCACGACTGTCCACTTCATGTGATCAAACCGTAACACAAATTAAACACAAAACCTTTATATCGGTAGACGAAGAGGGAACCGAAGCGTCGGCCGTTACAGCTATTAGTATTCAACCTAATTCTGCTTTAATCTATAATTCCCCACCGATTGAATTTCGTGTGGACCACCCGTTCCTCTATTATATTATTGACAAAACTAATGGTATGATTATGTTTTCCGGACAAATCAACAAACTTTAAAACTGTTTTTCCTAACTATTAATCAAACAATAATAATGCAATTAAAAACAAATTAGAATTTCACTGATTTTTTAATATAAACATTTTATTATAAAAAAACTTTATTGTTATAATAAAAACACAAAAATATTTGTTTTTATTTTATCATAATTCTGAATGTTTTTTTATCTATGTTTGGTTTTATCAATAGTCAACCGTTTGACTATTGATTTATGTATTATAATATACAATATGTATAATAATATAAAATTAGAATTTTGTTTTGTTAATGAATTTTGATATACTTTTACTGTATAATTGTATTTAGAAATGCATTTATAATTTATAATATACATTATCTAACAAATTGGTTGCAAATAACTATTTATGTCATCCAAATCTATTCTCAATGATAATCATTTTTATTGACAATCATCTGATTTGTGGCATATGTTTGATATACTGAATATTTTGTTGTTAGAAAAAAATATTTAATTAAATAATGATAATAATAATCAAAATAATAATAATATTATAATTTTAACAATATATTACTTCAAGAAACTTTTAAAGTAATTTTACTTAAATGATTGGTCACTGGGTTTGTATTGAGCTAAATATTAGACCGGGGTATGCCAATGCCAATCAGTTATGAAATTGAAGGTCAGGTCAAAAATCACAATCCATTTTAATTGAGAATCTCTTTAACAATAAATAAACTCTTTATATTAAAATATAATAAATCTAATAAAAATAAGTGTATTAATATTAATTAGTTAATTTATAAGCTATTTACAGTAAATTTATTACTACTTTTAGATAAGTGTATATTTTAATATATTTTTATTAACATATTTGTTGTTTTAATAATCAGTAATTGAATAAAATAAGAAATTTGTCAACATTTTATTAATATTAATTTTGTCTTACTTGAAAATAGTTAAAATATATTTAATTTAATATGTATAATAATAATAATAAATTGTATATTTATTACAAAAAAATGATAGTTTTAGTAATATTGTCGATACTGTTAACCGGTTTAATGGCTAGTAATTCAACCCAAGGGTTGGATTCATCCGAAAATTTGGTGATTCAGTCAAACAATGAATTTTCATTCAGAATATACAATATGTTAGCAAAAGATGACAACAACGACATTATCTCTTCGTTTTCAATAATATCGGCATTAAGTCTGTTATGTTATATAATACTGTATATTGTTATATAAAATAACTATTATTTTAAATATTAAGTTTTATATTGAAATATAATTTTATTGATAGGTATAGTAATGAACGGCGCAAACGATAAAACACTCGACGATTTCAAAACATTTCTTGGATTTCAAAACAAAAAGACAAATGAATTAATTAGTGATCAAACTATTAATAATGGATTTCAAACTATTAATGGATTGTATGAAAACAAAAGTATAGTAAATATAATTATTTTTTATTTATTTAAAAATTATAATATCATTATAATTATTTAATTGTCTATTATTTAGGCATTGAATATAAAAACTATTTGAATAAAACACAAGAAAATAAGAGATATGATTTGAAACATCAGTTAAATGTTGCAAATCTTGTTGTAAGAGATGAAAGTGAACTTATACTTAAACAAGAGTTTGTGGACGCAATACAACTGGCCTTTAGAGCACAGGTAGATAGGGCTGACTTCAAGCACAATGCAGTGGCAGAGACTGACAAAATTAACCAATGGATCCGTAAACAGACAAACAATAAAATACAAGAGATTTTTAAAAAACTCGATGCAATGACATCTCTAATAATTTTAAATACGATTTATTTTAAAGGTATTAACAGTTTATAACAGTTTATAATAATTTTTAATATTATTTAATTATATATAAATTTATAAATAATTAGGTGATTGGGAGGAAAAATTTAAAGATTAGAAAACTAAAAAGTCTGAATTTTATAATAACGGCGACAATAATACTAATGTTTCGGTCGATACAATGTTTCGTCAAAGTTTTTTCCGTTACTTTAGTTCAGATGAGTAAAACTCACGACTCATTGAATTGTCGTATAAGGGATCGGAAATGTCTTTTGTTATTATATTACCAAATGATAGAAACGGTTTGTCAACACTTAAGACTCGGATAAATGCCATAAACTTTGATAAAGCATTTAAATCAATGGATAGAGAGTATGTAAATCTATTTTTACCAAAGTTTAAGTCAGAAAAAGAGTACGATTTGATGAAAGATATAAATCCCAAACCAATTGCATTGACCACTGGAGCAGATTTATCACGACTGTCCACTTCATGTGATAAAACCGTATCCCAAATCAAACACAAAACTTTTATATCTATCGATGAATACGGAACCGAAGCGGCGGCCGTTACAGCTGTTGTTATGAAGGGTCGTTCGGGTCGTATCATTATTTCCCAACCGATTGAATTTCGTGTGGACCACCCGTTCCTATACTATATTATTGACAAAACTAATGGTATGATTATGTTTTCCGGACAAATAAACAAACTTTAGAAATGACTAAATGAAACTTTAATTGAAATTTAACACTAATAAGAATTGATTTTATATTTAAACTATTTTTATTTAATAAATAAACTATTTTTATATAAAAAACTATTGTTTTATAAATATTTTTGTATTTTTCATTATTCTTGATGTCTTTCTCGTCTATCTTTGTATAGCTCTAATGGAACGGTAGGTTTGATAGATAGCCACAATTATTTATATTTTGCATATATATATATATACTAATTAATTATATTATATTAATCAAACACATATTTGAGTTTAAAATAAATACAGTTTAACATCTAGCATGAAATCAGCAGTCATTGTAGATAAAGGTCACAACAATTTTTAATTGATAATCAATTAGCTGTAGTGTATATTATGATATAATTATTATTAAATATGTTATCCAAATATGACAACAACGACATAATCATAGTTTTAGTAATATTGTCGATACTGCTAACCGGTTTAATGGCTAGTAATTCAAACAAAAGGTTGGATTTATCCGAAAATTTGGTGATTCAGTCAAACAATGAATTTTCATTCAGAATATACAATATGTTAGCAAAAGATGACAACAACGACATTATCTCTTCGTTTTCAATAATATCGGCATTAAGTCTGTTATGTTATTACATATTATATAACATTACAAATAAACAAATATCTACTCTGTATTATACAGTTTACATCTATGATGAAAACAGCGGTCATTTGATGCAAATATGCTAATCAGTTATGTAATTGAAGGTCAGGTCAAAGATCTCAATCCATTTTAAATGATAATAATTAATTAATAAATAAAATCTTTATATTAAAATATAATTAATCTAAATATAAAATAAGTGTATTTTTGTTTTATTAATAATAATTAGTTAATTTGAAAGTTATTTATAGTAAATTTAATGTTTTTTAATTCCTGTTTTCAATTCAATCCAATGGATATAACTGGAAATTTTAGTTAAAAAAACTTCAGGAATTCTCCAGTATTATCATATTATCTGTCAAATGATTGATAACATCAGTTAAGTTGTCCACAATTATCACACTGATAGTTATGATGACTGTAATCATTAAGATTCATTTATAACACCTACAAAAATGTTTGACTGTTTTTAATATAAACTAATTTACATGAAATAATAAAAATGTATAATATTTTTAAGCAGACATTCCTTGAACGAGAAAAACTTGTTAAACTAACTGTAAATCAAATAATTTTATGAACAATTTGTTATACATTAAAAAAAATATTTAAAATGTTTAAAATTTGAGTGTTGGCGGATTTGGTGCACTTTTATTATACATTTTTATCATAAATAAATAAATATAATTTTATACTTATTTAATATAATGTAAATTTAATTGTGTTTTTAATTATTACTAAATATAATGTTTATTCAATAAAATAAATAAATGATAAGTATCTGTGTATAGTTGGTTTATTTTAGTGTTAAACATTTAATTATTGTTATTATTTATAATAAAATTAATGAATGTTATACTAATAATAAATAATACAATTAATTAATTAGGGCTGTAATATTTATTTTTTAAATGCTCAACTAAAACACTTATAAATAAAATAATAAAAAGATTTATATATTATTAATAATTTTAAAACATTTGATATTTAAAATAGCAAAATAAATATAAATAAATGTAGAATTTATTTACAAATTATTAGCATTTTTTGTTTATTTAAGTTAAATAATAACTACAATTAATAAAACATTGAGTTTATAGTTTAGAGATAGTTATATTATATTTAGAAATTAATTTATATATTATATAAATATATTTATTTAATGTTTTAATAAAAAAATTGAATTCCTGTTAAAATTTGATATAAACATCGGGACTGAAGAGATGAACGAAAGTTATGCTCTAAAGAATTCAAAGACTGTTAAGTAGACGACAGTTGAGTGGATCTGTTAACCGGTTTAATAGAAAGTAATTTAACCCAAGGGTTGGATTCATCCGAAAATTTGGTGATTCAGTCAAACAATGAATTTTCATTCAGAATATACAATATGTTAGCAAAAGATGACAACAACGACATTATCTCTTCGTTTTCAATAATATCGGCATTAAGTCTGTTATGTTATCAATAATAATATTCTGCTATTATTATCCAAGTATTTAAAATAATAATAATTTTAATATTAAAATATTATTTTATTGATAGGTATACTAATGAACGGCGCAAATGACAAAACACTCGACAATTTGAAGACATTTCTTGGATTTCAAAACAAACAGACAAATGAATTAATTAGTGATCAAACAATTAATAATGGATTTCAAACTATTAATGGATTGTATGAAAACAAAAGTATAGTAAATATAAATGTTATTAATTTATTTCAAAATAATAATATCATTATAATTATTCAATTGTCTATTATTTAGGCATTGAATATATAAACTATTTGAATAAAACACATGAAGAAAATGTCGTACGAAATGATAGTGAAGTACTTAAACAAGAGTTTGTGGACGCAATACAACTGGCCTTTAGAGCACAGGTAGATAGGGCTGACTTCAAGCACAATGCAGTGGCAGAGACTGACAAAATTAACCAATGGATTAGCAAACAGACAAACAATAAGAAAATGTTTGACAATCTGTTATATTCTATTAAATGCCATATATTTTAAAGGAATAATACTCTAAAATGTTGTTATGTTTTCGTTGAAATTATGTAAACGATTTATACAAAATAAACTAAAAATGTTTTATTGATTTTATTATTCTTCAAAAGTTTAGTTCAGAAATTTAAAAATTATTACATTTTTATTTTTAAATTTCATATATTATTAAAAAAATAGTTATTTTTTAAAATAATTCTTCTTAGGTTTCATATTATCATCGATCCACTGGCGATAACCGGAAACTCTAGTAAAAACATCGGGAACTCCATCTTTACCGCAATCATAGCCATATGAATTAATGCCGGCAATAACCCAAGCACCGGTATCTAATTGACAGTTTAATGGTCCGCCACTATCACCTTCACACGTATGATAAGTTTCGTCCAATTCATATCCGCCACAAATTTGATAATTTTTGTTTAATGATAAATCTTTCCAAATTTGTTCGCATTTGTTGCCATCAAAAATGGGTAGTACGACCTCTTGTAAAATTTTTGATGTTTGTCCGTCAAACTTAACTCTACCCCAACCGGTTGCCACACAATGTAGTCGCGGCGATAGTATTTGATTTTGTTTGGGCATAGAAACTGCTTTCAGATAACCATGGTGTTTTTTCAAATATAATGGTTCAGACAATTCAATTAAGGCAATATCATTGGTCTTCATTTGTGTATTAAATTTTTCATGAATAATCAACTAATTTAATAAAATAAAATGTTATATTAATATTTTTAACTAATTACTAGTTATAATATTAATTATTATTAAAAAAAATTAAATTAAATAAATATTACATTTTTGGCGTATCTTTTGATTCGGATGTCCGACTTTTTATTGATCTCGTGTTCGCCAAATATTAATTCAATTTTTTGAATTTTCTTACCATTAACTTCCATAAAACAGTGGGCAGCCGTCAAAACCCATCGATCATTGATGACTACCGCCGCATGAAATTACACCACTTTCGATACCATCACTGACCTTAATGTTAATCAATGTCATCCACGGCCAGGCCATAGACTGGGAATACTGTCCGCCAATTATTCGGGTACTTTCCGGCTCATCGTATGTATAGTTTGTTGCAAACAAACTCTTAGTGAATACTATTAATAATATTAATAAATTTAGTTTAGAATAAATCATTATCAGTATTATTATTATAAACTAATAATAATATTATTGATAAAAATTAATACTAAAATTGTTAGTAAACTATATACTTATATAAGTATATATTGTTTTTAAAAATGTAATAAAACTTTCATCTATTTATACTTTTGATTATTTAGAAAAATTAATACTAAAATTACTATTTTAATACAATTGTAATATATTAAAATTCATTAATCAATTGATAATTAATTAGTTAAAATTTCCAAACATTTGTGATGTAAATATAATTATTTAAATGTTTTTTTTAGATTATTTTATTTTATTTAATTTGTTTAACCATTTGTTCATTATTTCTACAAAGTTTATTATTTTATGTTCAAAACATATTTTTAATATCAATTAATTTAACAAAATGCATACTTATGTGTATACTATGTATAAATATTAATAGTGGAAAATTATAAATATTAAATTAAATCAAAATTTATTTTTTTAAAATTTAAAACAAATATTAGTTTTATAATATAATTAAAAGTTAGTATAGTTGTATTTTACTAATATTATGTAAGATTTTTAATAAAATCAAGCAAAATATAAATTTCATTTAATATTTTTTAAAAAAAAATTATCTAAAATTACAAAATATAGTTAAAAAATAGATTTTCAAAATTATTTTAGTTTTATTTAATTGCACTTAAAATCCAAATGTTAAGTCATATTAATTAATTAATTTTTATTATTACAAAATTATCCATATTTTATAAATTTAAAAAATAAATAAATGCTATTTGTTATTAAAACTGTTTATATCATACAAAATATTAAATCTGTCAAAAATATACATCCTTTTACATAATAATTTTATTTTTGGGTAAATTAATCATGAGTTTCAATTGTTATAATGTGACAATTTTAATAATTTATAATATTTATAAAAACATGTTTGCAAGTTATTTAATAAAATAAATTATTAAAATAATAGCTGAGATAATTTAACTCAAATTATTAGCATTATAAACATTTTTAATATTTGTTATTACTTTGTAGTATTTAGTGTTAAAATTCATAAAATTCATATATTAAAAATGTGTTTCATAATTATACAATTAAGGTATAATTTATATATATTAATTTACTAATTTTATTTATTTTAATATAATATAAAACCAGTTGAGATTACTAGAAAGTATTATCAAAAACAAATTTTAGTCATAAATTATTACAAATATCTAATAAAAAACACATATAAATTCACAACATTATAGTGATTAAAAATAATATTTATATGAAATAATAGTTTTCTAAACTTTTTGGTATATATTTATCATATAATATTTAATACTTATCCTCTATACCTTATTTTTGAGGATCTATATTAAAAAACTATAGATTTCATAAAACAATTTTTTAATTATATAATAATTAAAATATGTCTTTTTAAATAAATTAAAATATTAGCAAATAATTGTAAAATTAATTCAGTATTTTTATAATAAGTTTAATTTTAATTATAAATTAATATTTGAAAAAAACTAAATTGCTTTTAGATAAAAATAAAAAATATTATAAATTGCTAATTTATTTAATTCATTTTATATTATTTTAATTTATAAGTTTAATTATTTTTTTAGTTAAGTAACTTTAGATAGTTATTAACATACGAAATGATGCCCCCAAATACATACTAATTGTTTGCTATTAGACAGTTAGGTGACCCCCCAATTGTTTCCGTAATAGCTTTAATATTTTATACAAAAATAAAATATTTAAATCTCAGTATATCGGGAACAGTATATCAAACAAAATGAATATTTATTTAAAAAATCAGTACTAAAGACAACTGCCATTTATGTCTAACCGATTTGATCCGGATTTGTATTTTTTTATTAAATAATTTAATTATATTAAAACATTATTCTCGACTTTCAGTACACAAGTGAATCGGTTGAGATAGAGATTATGTTTTTTAAAATTTTACTTATTATATAACATTACAAATAAACAAATATCTGCACTGTATTATACAGTTTGCATCTATGATGAAAACAGTGTTCATTTAGGCAAATATATCAATCGGTTATGTAATGAGAGGTCAGATCAAAGATCACAATCCATTTTAATTGAGAATCTCTTTAACAATAAATAATATTTTTTTATTAAAATCTAATTAATCTAATATAAAATAAGTGTATTTTTGTTTTATTAATATTAATTAGTTAAGTTGAAAATTATTTATAGTAAATTTATTACTACTTATAGATAAGTGTATAATTTAATATATTTTTTTACTAACATATTGGTTGTTTTAATAATCAGTAATTGAATAAAGTTAGAAATTTGTCACCATTTTATTAATATTAATTTTGTCTTACTTGAAAATATATTTAATTTAATTTGTATAATAATAATAATAATAAATTGTATATTTATTACAAAAAAATGATAGTTTTAGTAATATTGTCGATACTGTTAACCGGTTTAAAGGCTAGTAATTCAACCCAAAGGTTGGATTCATCCGAAAATTTGGTGATTCAGTCAAACAATGAATTTTCATTCAGAATATACAATATATTAGCAAAAGATGACAACGATATCATCTCTTCGTTTTCAATAATATCGGCATTAAGTTTGTTATGTTATATAATACTATATATTGTTATATAAAATAACTATTATTTTAAATATTAATTTTTATATTGAAATATCATTTTACTGATAGGTATACTAATGAACGGCGCAAACGATAAAACACTCAATAATTTGAAGACATTTCTAGGATTTCAAAACAAACAGACAAATGAATTAATTAGTGATCAAACTATTAATAATGGATTTCTAGCTATTAATGGATTATATGAAAACAAAAGTATAGTAAATATAAATATTATTTATTTATTTCAAATACACAATAAACTTACAAAATAAAATTATTAATTATTAATTATTAATTATTAAGGCATTTCATATAAAAACTATTTGAATAAAACACAAGAAAACAATCGTTTCACTCGAGATTTGAAACACCAGTTAAATGTTGCAAATCTTGTTGTAAGAGATGAAAGTGAAGTACTTAAACAAGAGTTTGTGAACGCAATACAACTGGCCTTTAGAGCACAGGTAGATAGGGCTGACTTCAAGCACAATGCAGTGGCAGAGACTGACAAAATTAACCAATGGATTAGCAAACAGACAAACAATAAAATACAAAAAATATTTGACACAATCGATGGACAGACATCTCTTATACTATTAAATGCGATTTATTTTAAAGGTATTAGTAGTTTATAAATTTATAATTTTTATTATAAATTAATTAATAATAAATTTATAAATAATTAGGTAATTGGGAGATAAAGTTTAAACAGTTAAATACTAGAGAGTCTGACTTTTATAATAACGGCGCCAATAATAGTAATGTTTCGGTCGACACAATGACACGCACAGATGATTACTATTACTTTAATTCAGATGAGTTAAAATCACGACTCATTGAATTGCCGTATAAGGGATCGGAAATGTCTTTTGTTATTATATTACCAAATGATAGAAACGGTTTGTCAACACTTAAGACTCGGATAAATGCCATAAACTTTGACAAAGCATTTAAATCAATGAATGAAAATCATGTAAAACTATTTTTACCAAAATTTAAGTCAGAAAAAGAGTACGATTTGATGAAAGATATAAATCCCAAACCAATTGCATTGACCACTGGAGCAGATTTATCACGACTGTCCACTTCATGTGGTGATCACACCGTAACACAAATCAAACACAAAACTTTTATATCTGTAGACGAAGAGGGGACCGAAGCGGCGGCCGTTACAGCTGTTAAGTTAGGGAAAAAAAGTTTGGATGATGAAAGTGAATCGGAACCGATTGAATTTCGTGTGGACCACCCGTTCCTATACTATATTATTGACAAAACTAATGGTATGATTATGTTTTCCGGACAAATCAATAAACTTTAAAACTGTTTTTCTTAACTACAAATCTACCAATAATGCAATAAAAAAACTAATTAGAATTTAATTGATTTTTTTTAATATAAACTTTTTATAAAAACTTTATTTATATAATTAAAAAAAGTTCAACAAATATTTGTATTGTATTTTGCAGTTATTAGTGTTATTATAATTTGTGTCTTAATTCTTGTATTCAATTCAATCCAATGGCGATAACCGGAAACTTTAGTCAAATAAATACTTCGGGAATTACAGTACAACCGTATTCACTGCTAAATGAATGAATTGATTCAAACAATAAACACAAACACTGTTTAGTTAGCCGACAGTTAAGTGGTCCACAAATAGTCACAGTTATGATGACTGTTATCGCTCTTATAGTTGGCCGACAACTAATAGTTTTTGTTGTTGTTGTTGGTATTCAATGGCCAATTGGTTTAAACCTACTTCATATTGATTGACAATTATTATCATTGATTAGCACACAAACCGTTTACCACAAAATATAGTCAAAATATAAAAGGAGACACTTCTTGAACGAGAAATCTTGTTGACCTAACTGTAAATCATGTTTTTTTTGAAAAACAATTTATTTGATTTTTTAAAAATTATTAAAAAATAATAGACATGTTTTAGAAACACCATAATTTGAAATCAAGTTTTTCGTTCAATTTTAATAACGCGATGTCATTAGCAGTAGTACTCGGATTATATCCGTTTAACATAATCTGTGACAACAATAGTATATAAATTAGTTATAATTTAATATAATATATGTTTATAGAGTAAGAACCGGTAGTTTATAATATTTAAATCTAAATTTAGAGACATATCGGCAATTTCGGTAAACAATCTGCGAAAATTAAAATATATTAAAATTATATACTGTATAAAACATTTATGTATTAAATTTTATTGTTAAATACAAATATTTTAAATTATTTTTTTTATTTGTAAAGAATATCCAGTTATAGAGTTAACAAACCAGACTTTATTGTAAGTAAATCGTTAACAATAGTATCGGCGGATATACTTATATAATGCAAATAATTAATTTTATTTTCTGAAAATTTTGATATAAAGTTTACAAAATATTTTTGAAAAATATATATATTTATAATATATAATTTTTTAATTATAAAATTATATTTAATTTGAATATTAAATCAAAGTTATTTATATACTAAAAATTATTTTTAAAAAAATAATTTTTTTACTTTATTTATTTGATATAACCATTTAAATTGTTGGTCTTTTCTTTAATCCATTCTTTAAAGTTTGAAACTCTTGTATAGACACCGGGACTGTCTTTACCATTGCATCCTTTGCCGTACGAAGTGATGCCTTCAATCACATACACATCGCTATTCAGTTGACAGTTGAGTGGTCCTCCACTGTCCCCATGACAGGTATCTTTGAGACCTATCAAATGTCCGGCACATAACTGAATTGAATTATTGAAATTTTTTGACATAGTTTTACAACTGGAATCTCCTATAATTGGCATTTTTAATTGTTGTAAAATAGTAGCATCAGTTCCTTTGTCGTCAACATCTCCCCAACCGGTAACCATACAGTCATTTGATTTTAACTTATAATTATTATATGGCAAACAAATTGGTTCCAAATCTTTATTACTGACATCCAAATCAAGAGGTGTTCCGTCTAACTCAATCAATGCGATGTCATTTATAACTTTTTTTACATCATAATAATCATGTAAGATTATCTAATTTTAATTAAAAGCACAAATTAATAGTTATATAATAATTATGTAAATAAAAATAAAACATTACATTTTTAACTTTTTTTGTAACCATTATACGAGATTCTTTCTTGAGATTAGTTTGTCCCAATACGATACTGGTTATTTTAGTTGCTTTATCAATATTTTTAAAATAGTCATCGAAACAATGTGCGGCCGTCAAAACCCATCGGTCACTGATTAGACTACCACCACATATGGGATGTTTTTTCTTATTCATTTTAATTTGTGCCATCCATGGCCAGGCATTTTCCGATGAATTTTCGCCGCCAATTACGCGGGCAACACCACCTTTGCCGCATTTTTTCGTCGACCAGGATGCCTCTGTTAACAACAATGAAGATAATAATATAAATATAAATAACATTTTAATATTAAACATTCAGATATTTAAATAATATTTTTAGTATTAATAAAAATATATTAATATTTATATAAACTTTAATATTTATCAAAGTATATATATATTGTTAATTTTATAATAAAAATTCTCATCTATTTATACCTATGAATATTAAAAAAAATAAAATTAAAAACTTTTTAATTCATTTATCAATCGATAATTAATTAGTAAAAATTTCCAAACATTTGTGATGTAAATAGATTTATTTAAATGTTTTTTAAAATTATTTTATTTTTAATTTCTGTAATCATTTGTAAACATATTTTTATTATCAATTAATTAAAAAATGTATACTTTTGTAAATATTATATATAAATATTACGTGGATTTAATTCTTTAATTTTTAAACAAATATTAGTTTTACAATATTATTAAACTTAGTTACTTAATAATATTATGTAAGATTTTATTTAAAATAATGCAATATATATATATTTATAATATTTCATTTAATATTTAAAAAATAATTATATATTATACCAAAAAATATAGTAAAAATTATATATATTTTCAAAACTATATTGTTTTATAAGTTTTATTATCAAGTATAGTAGATTGTATGAAAACAAAAGTATAATAAATATAAATATTATTAATTTATTTCAAAATAATAATATCATTATATTTATTCAAATGTCTATTATTTAGGTATTGAATATAAAAACTATTTGAATAAAACACAAGAAGACAATCGTGTCGTACGAAATGATAGTGAAGTACTTAAACAAGAGTTTGTGAACTCAATACAACTGGCCTTTAGAGCACAGGTAGATAGGGCTGACTTCAAGCACAATGCAGTGGCAGAGACTGACAAAATTAACCAATGGATTAGCAAACAGACAAACAATAAGAAACTGTTTGACAATATGTTATATTCTATTAAATGCCATATATTTTAAATGATGTATTTATATACTGTAAAATGTTGTTAATGTTTTCGTTGAAATTATGTAAACGATTTATACAAAATACACTAAAAATGTTATGCAAATATTTTATTGATTTTATTATCTTTCAAAAGTTTAGTACAGAAATTTATTATATTTTTATTGTAAATTTGATATTTTATATAAAAAAATTGTTAATTTTTTTAAATAATTCTCATTAGGTTTTATATTATCATCGATCCACTGACGATAAGCGAAAACTTCTAACTATATATTGTTTAAAAATATAATAAAACTTCCATCTATTTATACTTTTGATTATTTAGAAAAATTAATACTAAAATTACTATTTTAATACAATTGTAATATATTAAAATTCATTAATCAATTGATAATTAATTAGTTAAAATTTCCAAACATTTGTGATGTAACTATAATTATTTAAATGTTTTTAAAAAAAATTATTTTATTTGTTTAACCATTTGTTCATTATTTCTACAAAGTTTATTATTTTATGTTCAAAACATATTTTTAATATCAATTAATTTAACAAAATGCATACTTATGTGTATATTATGTATAAATATTAATAGTGGAAAATTATAAATAATAAATTAAATCAAAATTTATTTTTTAAAAATTTAAAACAAATATTAGTTTTATAATATAATTAAAAGTTAGTATAGTTGTATTTTACTAATATTATGTAAGATTTTTAATAAAATCAAGCAAAATATAAATTTCATTTAATATTTAAAAAAAATATTTAAAATTACAAAATATAGTAAAAAAATAAAACTATTTTGGTTTTATTTAATCGCACTTAAAATCCAAATGTTAAGTCATATTAATTAATTAATTTTTATTATTACAAAATTATCCATATTTTATAAATTGAAAAAATAAATAAATACTATTTATTATTAAAACTGTTTATATCATACAAAATATTAAATCTGTCAAAAATATACATCCTTTTACATAATAATTTTATTTTTGGGTAAATTAATCATGAGTTTCAATTGTTATAATGTGACAATTTTAATAATTTATAATATTTATAAAAACATGTTTGTAAGTTATTTAATAAAATAAATTATTAAAATAATAGCTGAGATAATTTAACTCAAATTATTAGCATTATAAACATTTTTAATATTTGTTATTACTTTGTAGTATTTAGTGTTAAAATTCATTCTATATATTAAAAATGTGTTTCATAATTATACAATTAATGTATAATTTATATATATTAATTTACTAATTTTATTTATTTTAATATAATATAAAACCAGTTGAGATTACTAGAAAGTATTATCAAAAACAAATTTTAGTCATAAATTATTACAAATATCTAATAAAAAACACATATAAATTCACAACATTATAGTGATTAAAAATAATATTTATATGAAATAATAGTTTTCTAAACTTTTTGGTATATATTTATCATATAATATTTAATACTTATCCTCTATACCTTATTTTTGAGGATCTATACTAAAAAACTATAGATTTCATAAAACAATTTTTTAATTATATAATATTTAAAATATGTCTTTTTAAATAAAGTAAAATATTAGCAAATAATTGTAAAATTAATTCAGTATTTTTATAATAAGTTTAATTTTAATTATAAATTAATATTTGAAAAAAACTAAATTGCTTTTAGATAAAAATAAAAAATATTATAAATTGCTAATTTATTTAATTCATTTTATATTATTTTAATTTATAAGTTTAATTATTTTTTTAGTTAAGTAACTTTAGATAGTTATTAACATACGAAATGATGCCCCCAAATACATACTAATTGTTTGCTATTAGACAGTTAGGTGTTCCCCCAATTGTTTCCCTAATAGCTTTAATATTTTATATAAAAATAAAATATTTAAATCTCATTATATCGGGAACAGTATATCAAACAAAATTGAAATTTATTAATAAATCAGTACTAAAGACAACTGCCATTTATGACCTTCAGATTTGATCCGGATTTGTATTTTTTATTAAATAATTTAATTTTATTTAAACATTACTCTCGACTTTCAGCACAAAAGTGTATCGGTTGGGTTAGAAATTATGTTTTTTATGTTTAGAAATTTTACTTATTATATAACATTACAAATAAACAAATATCTGCACTGTATTATACAGTTTGCATCTATGATGAAAACAGTGTTCATTTAGGCAAATATATCAATCGGTTATGTAATGAGAGGTCAGATCAAAGATCACAATCCATTTTAATTGAGAATCTCTTTAACAATAAATAATATTTTTTTATTAAAATCTAATTAATCTAATATAAAATAAGTGTATTTTTGTTTTATTAATATTAATTAGTTAAGTTGAAAGTTATTTATAGTAAATTTATTACTACTTATAGATAAGTGTATAATTTAATATATTTTTTTACTAACATATTTGTTGTTTTAATAATCAGTAATTGAATAAAGTTAGAAATTTGTCACCATTTTATTAATATTAATTTTGTCTTACTTGAAAATATATTTAATTTAATTTGTATAATAATAATAATAATAAATTGTATATTTATTACAAAAAAATGATAGTTTTAGTAATATTGTCGATACTGTTAACCGGTTTAAAGGCTAGTAATTCAACCCAAAGGTTGGATTCATCCGAAAATTTGGTGATTCAGTCAAACAATGAATTTTCATTCAGAATATACAATATGTTAGCAAAAGATGACAACAACGACATTATCTCTTCGTTTTCAATAATATCGGCATTAAGTCTGTTATGTTATATAATACTGTATATTGTTATATAAAATAACTATTATTTTAAAAATTAATTTTTATATTGAAATATAATTTCATTGATAGGTATACTAATGAACGGCGCAAACAATAAAACACTCGACGATTTCAAAAGATTTCTTGGATATCAAAACAAAAAGACAAATGAATTAATTAGTGATCAAACTATTAATAATGGATTTCAAATTATTAATGGATTGTATGAAAACAAAAGTATAGTAAATATAAATATTATTTATTTATTTCAAAATAATATTATTATAATTATTAAAAAAAATTTATTAATAAGGCGTTGAATATAAAAACAGTTTGAATAAAACAGAAGAAGACAATCGTTATGATACAGATTTGAAACACCAGTTAAATGTTGCAAATCTTGTTGTAAGAGATGAAAGTGAAGTACTTAAACAAGAGTTTGTGAACGCAATACAACTGGCCTTTAGAGCACAGGTAGATAGGGCTGACTTCAAGCACAATGCAGTGGCAGAGACTGACAAAATTAACCAATGGATCCGTAAACAGACAAACAATAAAATACAAGAGATTTTTAAAAAACTTGATCCAATGACATATTTTAAATACGATTTATTTTAAAGGTATTAACAGTTTATATTAATTTTTATTGTTAATTAATTATATATAAATTTTATAAATAATTAGGTGATTGGGAGGAAAAATTTGAAGATTGGAGGACTGAAAAGTCTGAATTTTATAATAACGGCGACCAAAATAGTAATGTTTCGGTCGATACAATGTTCAGTAAAAAATTTTTCCGTTACTTTAGTTCACAAGAGTTAAACTCACGACTAATTGAATTGCCGTATAAGGGAAGGGAAATGTCATTTGTTATTGTATTACCAAATGATAGAAACGGTTTGTCAACACTTAAGACTCATATAAATGCCATAAACTTTGACATATCTGTCGATGAATACGGAACCGAAGCGGCAGCCGTTACAGCTGTTGTTATGGAGGGTCGTTCGGGTCATATAATTATTTCCCCACCGATTGAATATCGTGTGGACCACCCGTTCCTATACTATATTATTGACAAAACTAATGGTATGATTATGTTTTCCGGACAAATAAACAAACTTTAGAAATGACTAAATAAAACTTTAATTGAAATTTAACACTAATAAGAATTGATTGATTTTTCTATTTAAACTATTTTTATTTAATAAATAAACTATTGTTTTATAAATATTTTTGTATTTTTTCATTATTCTTGATGTCTTTCTCGTCTATCTTTGTATAGCTCTAATGGAACGGTAGGTTTGATAGATAGCCAACAAGTATTTATTGTTTATATTTTATATTATATTTTATTGTTTATATACTAATAATTATCTTATACTAATCAAATACATATTTAAGTTTAAAATAAATACAGTTTAACATCTAGCATGAAATCAGCAGTCATTATAAATGTCACTACAGGTCATTGTAGATAAAGGTCACAACAATTTTTAATTGATAATCAATTAGCTGTAGTGTATATTATGATATAATTATTATTAAATATGTTATCCAAAGATGACAACAACGACATTATTTTTTTGTTTTCAATAATATCGGCATTAAGTTTGCTATGTTATCTAATATTGTATATTGTTATTATGTATTTTTTATTAAATAATTTAATTATATTGAAACACTGCTCTTGACTTTCAACAAGTGTATCGGTTGGGGTAGAAATTGTTTTTTTAATTTTACATATTATATAACATTTTACAAAAAAAACAAATATCTAATCTGTATTATACAATTTACATCTATCATGAAAACAGCGGTCATTTGAAACAAATATGCAAATCAGATATGTAATTGAAGGTCATGTCAAAGATCAAAATTAATTTTAATTGAGAATCTTTTTAACAATAAATAAAATATAAAATAAGTGTATTTTTGTTTTATTAATATAATATACTATTGATATTCAATATTAATAAATAACTTGTTTAAAAATAGTTTATTTATTAATTAGTTAATTTGTAAGCTATTTAAAGTAAATTTATTTTTACTTATAGCTAAGTGTATAATTTAATATATTTTTATTAACATATTTGTTGTTTTCATATTTTATAATAATCAGTGATTGAATAAAGTTAGAAAATTGTAACCATTTTATTAATATTAATTTAGTCTTATATGATAATAGTTAAAATATATTTAATTTAATTTATATAATTATAATAATAAATTGTATATATATTACAAAAATAATGATAATTTTAGTAATATTGTCGATACTGTTAACCGGTTTAATGTCTAGTAATTTAATCCAAGGGTTGGATTCATCTGAAAATTTGGTGATTCAGTCAAACAATGAATTTTCATTCAGAATATACAATATATTAGCAAAAGATGACAACGATATCATCTCTTCGTTTTCAATAATATCGGCATTAAGTCTGTTATGTTATCAATGATAATATTCTGCTATTATTATTATTGTCTAAGTATTTTAAATAATTATTTTAATATTAAAATATAATTTTAATTATATTATAGGTATACTAATGAATGGCGCAAATGACAAAACACTCGACAATTTGAAGACATTTCTTGGATTTCAAAACAAAAAGTCAAATGAATTAATTAGTGATCAAACTATTAATAATGGATTTCAAACTATTAATGAATTCTATGAAAACAAAAGTATAGTAAATATAAATATTATTTATTTATTAATTTCAAATTAATATAATAAATATATAAAACTATCTAATTGTCTATTATTAAGGCATTTCATATATAAACTATTTGAATAAAACACAAGAAAACAATCGATATGATAGAGATTTGAAACACCAGTTAAATGTTGCAAATCTTGTTGTAAGAGATGATAATGAAGTACTTAAACAAGAGTTTGTGGACGCAATACAACTGGCCTTTAGAGCACAGGTAGATAGGGCTGACTTCAAGCACAATGCAGTGGCAGAGACTGACAAAATTAATCAATGGATTAGCAAACAGACAAACAATAAAATAGAAAAAATATTTGACAAAATTAATGAACAGACATCTCTTATACTATTAAATGCGGTTTATTTTAAAGGTATAATAGTTTTAGAATATTTTATATAATTATATAATATATTTTTGTTATTTTAAATTAATTATAAATTATTAGATAATTGGGAGGAAGAGTTTAGTAAACATGAGACTATTAAGTCTAACTTTTATAATAACGGCGCCGAAAATAATAATGTTTCGGTCGACACTATGTCTCGTACGGGTAATTACTATTACTTTAGTTCACATGAGTTAAACTCACGACTCATTGAATTGCCGTATAAGGGATGGGAAATGTCTTTTGTTATTGTATTACCAAATGATAGAAACGGTTTGTCAACACTTAAGACTCGGATAAATGCCATAAACTTTGATAAAGCATTCAAATCAGTGAAGAGAGAATATATAAATCTATTTTTACCAAAGTTTAAGTCAGAAAAAGAGTACGATTTGATGACTGCTATAAATCCCAAACCAATTGCATTGACCACTGAAGCAGATCTATCACGACTGTCCACTTCAAGTAAGCAAACCGTAACACAAATCAAACACAAAACCTTTATATCGGTGGACGAAGAGGGGACCGAAGCGGCGGCCGTCACAGCTATTAGTATTCAATATCTTTCGGCTTTTGAATATAATTCCCCACCGATTGAATTTCGTGTGGACCACCCGTTCCTCTATTATATTATTGACAAAACTAATGGTATGATTATGTTTTCCGGACAAATCAATAAACTTTAAAACTGTTTTTTATTAATAAGTACTAATAAACCTTTAATTTCAATTAAAACATATTAATATTGAATTGTTTTTTATATAAAAACTTTTATATTAAAAATGTGAAAAAATATTTGTTTTGTATTTCGTTATAATTCTGGATATTTTTAATCATTTATATTTTACTTTAATTTCGGTTTAATCAATAGACAAACAGTTGTCTATTTATTTATTATATGTATTGAGTATTATATTTTTTAAAAATTTAAAATTTTTTTAATTTTTTATATAAAAAATTACCAAATTGTGCTAAAAATTCAAAAATAATTTCTAATAATTTCTATTCTAGTCTACTTTATAAGCTCAGGTAATATAAACAATATAAGTCTAATTTTTGCTATGTGAATTGCGTTAAATAATTTATAGTTTTAATTAGCTTTTCAAATATTATAAATATATATATATATTTAATACTATTAGTTAGTTTTAATTTAATGTTTTTAATTTCCGCAATTCAATCCAATGGACATAACCGGACATAAACTAAATACTATACCTAATCTGTTATTATATAACAATTTATTTACAAAATATTAGCATTTTTTGATTAATCAATTTAAATAAATAGCATTTAAAAACATAATGTATTGAGTTTATAGTTTAGAAAAAGTTATATTATATTTTCAAATCAAATGTTGCATAATTTAATATATTTTTATTAACATATTTGTTGTTTTCATATTTTATAATAATCAGTAATAGAATAAACATAGAAAATTGTCACTATTTTATTAATATTAATTTAGTCTTACATGAAAATAGTTAAAATATATTTAATTTTATTTATATAATTATAATAATAAATTGTATTTTTATTACCAAAATAATGATAATTTTAGTAATATTGTCGATACTGTTAAGCGGTTTAATGTCTATTAATTTAACCCAAGGGTTGGATTTATCCGAAAATTTGGTGATTCAGTCAAACAATGAATTTTCATTCAGAATATACAATATGTTAGCAAAAGATGACAACGATATCATCTCTTCGTTTTCAATAATATCGGCATTAAGTCTGTTATGTTATCAATAATAATATTCTGCTATTATTATCCAAGTATTTAAAATAATAATAATTTTAATATTAAAATATTATTTTATTGATAGGTATACTAATGAATGGCGCAAATGACAAAACACTCGACAATTTGAAGACATTTCTTGGATTTCAAAACAAAAAGTCAAATGAATTAATTAGTGATCAAACTATTAATAATGGATTTCAAACTATTAATGGATTGTATGAAAACAAAAGTTTAGTAAATATAAAAATTATTTATTTATTTCAAGATAATAATATTTATTTAATTGTCTATTATTTAGGTATTTGAATTTGAACTATTTGAATAAAACACAAGAAAACAAGAGATATCATTTGAAACACCAGTTAGATATTGCAAATCTTGTCGTACGAAATGATAGTGAAGTACTTAAACAACAGTTTGTGGACGCAATACAACTGGCCTTTAGAGCACAGGTAGATAGGGCTGACTTCAAGCACAATGCAGTGGCAGAGACTGACAAAATTAACCAATGGATACGCAAACAGACAAACAATAAAATACAAAAAATATTTGACACAATCGATGAACAGACATCTCTTATACTATTAAATGCGGTTTATTTCTAAGGTATAATAGTCTCAAAAGTTTATATATTTTTATTATTTTAAATCAATTATAAGTTAATTTATGAATAATTAGGTAATTGGGAGCAAGAGTTTAGTAAATATGGGACTATTAAGTCTAACTTTTATAATAACGGCGCCGATAATAGTCATGTTTCGGTCGACACAATGGAAAAGAGAACTGATTTCCGTTACTTTAATTCAGATGAGTTAAACTCACGACTCATTGAATTGCCGTATAAGGGATCGGAAATGTCTTTTGTTATTATATTACCAAATGATAGAAACGGTTTGTCAACACTTAAGACTCGGATAAATGCCATAAACTTTGACAAAGCATTCAAATCAATGATAAGCACTGATATATATTTATCTTTACCAAAGTTTAAGTCAGAAAAAGAGTACGATTTGATGACTGCTATAAATCCCAAACCAATTGCATTGACCACTGGAGCAGATTTATCACGACTGTCCACTTCATGTGGTGATCACACCGTAACACAAATCAAACACAAAACTTTTATATCTGTAGACGAAGAGGGAACCGAAGCGGCGGCCGTTACTGCTGTTTTAATGGGTGCTCTTATGGGGGGGTTTTTTCGTCCCCCATCTATTCAGTTTCGTGTGGACCACCCGTTCCTCTCTTATATTATTGACAAAACTAATGGTATGATTATGTTTTCCGGACAAATCAATAAACTTTAGAACTGTTTTTCTTAGTACTGATCAAACTTTAATTCAATGTAAACTATTGTATTTAATTAAACTTTATTTGTTATAATAAAAAAAGTGCAAATATATTTGTTTTGTAATGATTTTATTTTGTTCTACACACACATATACACACACATATACACACACATATACACACACATATACACACACATATACACACACATATACACACACATATACACACACATATACACACACATATACACACACATATACACACACATATACACACACATATACACACACATATACACACACATATACACACACATATACACACACATATACACACACATATACACACACATATACACACACATATACACACACATATAATTTACAGAAACAAAACCTTTTCAAAATACATTTATATTATTATTATTATTATTATTATTATTATTATTATTATTATTATTATTATTATTATTATTATTATTACAGTATTATGCATATATCATATAAATTAAATATAAACAAATATATCTCTATTTAAATAAATTAATAGTTATTATTTATTTAAAAATACATATTTTACAATACTTTTATTATAGTAATACAGTATAAATATCCATATTTTTTAAATAAATAATTCTTAATTAAATTAAATCAAACATTTTATAAATAACGAGTCAGTATTGCATAGAAATATGTAGTCATAAATAATTTATTAAATTTTATATTTATTTTTATATAATTTGATAAAATGATATTTATTTAATTAATTTACAAAAATATGATATGTTTAGTAATATTGTTGACACTCTTAACCGGACTAATTGATAGTAATTTTGCCAAACAATTGGATTTATCCGAAAATTTGGTGATTCAGTCAAACAATGAATTTTCATTCAGAATATACAATATGTTAGCAAAAGATGACAACAACGACATTATCTCTTCGTTTTCAATAATATCGGCATTAAGTCTGTTATGTTATCTAATATTTTGCTAAATATTTTTTTAATCAATTATTTTAAATACTAATTTCATTTTATTAATAGCTATATTAATGAACGGAGCAAACGATAAAACACTCGACAATTTGAAGACATTTCTTGGATTTCAAAACAAAAAGACAAATGAATTAATTAGTGATCAAACTATTAATAATGGATTTTATATTATTAATGGATTGTATGAAAATAAAAGTAAAATTTATTTATCAAATTTAGATAACAATTGAAAATAATAATATACTATAAAATAAATTAGTAATAATAATATTATAATTAATTACATTTATTTAGGCATTTCATATAAAAACTATTTACACAAAACACATGAAGAAGAAGGAGAAGACAATAGTTTTGATAGAGATTTGAAACACCAGTTAAATGTCGCAAATCTTGTCGTACGAAATGATAGTGAAGTACTTAAACAACAATTTGTAGATACAATAGAACTGGCCTTTAGAGCACAGGTAGATAGGGCTGACTTTGAGAACAATGCAGTGGCAGAGACTAAAAAAATTAATCAATGGATACGCAAACAGACTAACAATAAAATATATAAAATATTTGACAAAATCAATGAAGAGACAACTCTTATAATAGTAAATGCCGTCTATTTTAATGGTATAAATAGTTTAAAAACCTAAACTATTATTTTTATCAATATTTAATTTTCTAATCAAATTGTAGGTAATTGGGAGGAAAATTTTAATAAGTACTCGACTATTAAATCTGACTTTTATAATAATGGCAATGAAAATAGTATTGTTTCGGTGAACACAATGCTTCATATCGCTAATTATCGTTACTTTAGGTCACATGAGTTAAGCGCACAACTCATTGAATTGCCGTATAAGGGAAGGGAACTGTCATTTGTTATTGTATTACCTAAATATAAAAACGGTTTGTCAACACTCAAGACTCGGATAAATGCCATAAACTTTGACAATGCATTCAAATCAATGGTCAGCACTCGTATAAAACTATTTCTACCGAAGTTTAAGTCGGAAAAAGAGTACGATTTGATGAAATCAATAAATCCAAAACCAATAGCATTGACCACTGGAGCAGATTTTTCACGACTGTCCACATCAAATGATCAAACTGTAGCACAAATACGACATAAAACCTATATATCGGTCGACGAAAAGGGTACCGAAGCGGCGGCCGTAACGGCCGTTAGATTACAAACAAGAAGAGCTATAATCCATAAGTCACAGCCAATTATATTCAGAGTCAACTATCCGTTTCTCTACTATATTATCGATACAACTAATGGCATGATTTTGTTTTCCGGACAAATTAATAGACTTTAATTATTTTTATTCAATCAAATAACAATAATATATATATATATATATAGATATATATTTTGCTATATTTGCTACAATAAAATAAAAAAATAGTTTTATTTTACTTACTTTCTAAATAATTTATTTTATTTCAATATTTTTTAAAATATAAAATTCTTATAATTATTGTTAAATGACAATAAATAATAATATTTAAAAATATATATAACAAAATAAATAAAAATATATCTATTATAAATAAATATAATTGATAAATAAAATTTAATTAAAAAAATACTTAAATAAATACTAAAATATATTTAAATTTAAACTATAATATAAAATGTTTACAATATAATGAGTTATTATTTATTTACTAAGCATAACACTAAAAAATTTAAATAATATTTAATATGTTTTATTTGATAACTTATAATATGTAAAACTACATTATTTTATTTGAAAATAAATAAATTTTTAAATTAATATAATCAAAGTTAATAATAAACATTTTTACTAATTTATGATTTAAATAAGTTTTTGTTAAACATTTTTTCCTTTTAATAATTGACTAAAATTTAATTTGTTTTTTTTGTGAATAAAATATGATAAATCACTAAAAACTAATCAAAATAATTGTTATGTAAATTAGTGATATTTATATAAAACATTTGTATCAATTTTAATACTTATTATATTAATATTTCGATATTGGGTCAAAGTTTTTTTTGCTGTTATTAATACTAGCAATTAATTTAGATTTTATGGTAATTTCCGTTAAATTTTAGTTTTTTATATAAAAAAAATAAAAATTAAATTACTTAAATATACAATTGAGGTTTTATTTAAGTAAATAATATATCATATTATATATGCTATTATAAATAAAAAAAATATACTGTTTATAAACTTTATACAAACAAAAGATTTTTTTTGTTAGATAAATATTTTTTGATGATTGATAAACAAAATTAACATTTTATCAATAAGTAAATAATTTAAAGTACAATAATGTACAATAAACTAAATACTATAACTCAAATATAAATTTTTGATGACAATTCATTAATTATCATTAACTAATTATAACTATCATTTATTTGCATATTTACAAAAAAAACTAAAAATATCAATTTTAAGGTCAAAATTATTTTAAAAAAATATACTGATATTTTATTTTATAAATTAAATAACATTGTGTAAAATATCAATTAGTAACGTTTTAGTTTTTTTTATATTGATAAAAATAGTAATATAATTGAATGTGAAATTATTCATTTAATTGAATGTGAAAAATAAAATAACAAATTTTTGGTTTGTGAGTATATATATAAATTATATATATATATTTGTATAGATGTATATATACCGTATGTATGTATGTGTGTGTGTGTGTGTGTGTGTAATAAATATTTACATTTTTATCTTTACTAACAATTAGAAGTAATGTAAAAACTAGGAAGAAGTTTGTGTAATACAAATATTAAATTTATTTATTTTTTTATTGATAAACAGTTGTATAATTTGTTCAAAAAATATTTATAACATAATTATTTGCGACTAAAACATTAAAATTAAATCATATATTGCTTTTCGAAAAAAAAATTGCAGTTAAATAAAGTTATTATTTGCAAAAAAGTAAATAAAATAAACTTTGAATTTTAAAAAAATAATTTTTAGTACTTATATAAATATAAGTTTTCTAAGTATTATTATTATTTACAATTAGATGAACAAACAAAAAAAAATTATCTTTTAATAGATAGAAAAAATAAACATTAGTTAAACACAAATAATATTTTAGTTTAACGATTGTTTTTAAAAAAAAAAATATTTTTTTTCATTCATATATTGTATATATTATATAGTAAATTATATCTTTTACAGTAATAATACTAATAATAATTATATACCATTATATAACGCAAACGTTTCAATAAAATAATAGTTTATTTTATTATTTTATAAGCAAAATAAAACACATATACACATACATACACAAACTCACATTAAAAAAATACAAAAATGTATGTGTGATATAAATAGCAATAATATTGTATAATAAATTGCGAGTCCATTATTATAATAAAATGGGACATTTTTATTATTAAGGCTAATTTTTTCAATTTAATATTATAAAACCATATGATATGACTTATGTTTGTGGCCACAAACAGTTAGAAATATCAGCAACAAAAAAAAACATAACTGTATTTCATATATATTTAGATTATTACTTATTATTATTATTTAAATTAGTAATTTTTGATTTGAAACAAACATGCAAAACAACAACAACAACAATAAAATACATAATAAAAAATTATTTGATTAAATTTATGACAAATGAGTTATATAAGAAAAAATTATTTTTTCATAAAACAAAAATGAAAATCATTTAAAACAATAAAAATTTACTATTTTGTGTATTAGTGCTGTTTGTTTCAATCATTTAGTTAAATATAATTTCTATATATAAATATATATATAGACAGTATAAATATAATAATAATTATAATAATAATAAAGAGAGGAAGTTTTTATATTATTAAATGATTGATAATCACTATTGATTATAACAAACGTTTTGGAAAAATCGTGTCATAATTGGGTAAGAAATCAATTTTTGAATTTAATATTAGATTTGTATAAATGATTTTTGAAACAAAAGTTTAGATTTAGATTCATAGTTATAGACTAGACTATAGAGAGAGAGAGAGAGAGAGAGAGAGAGAGAGAGAGAGAGTCTAAATTTAAAACAATTGCAATATAAAAATATAATGTTAATCACAGCGATAGTCAAAAATACATTTGTAGTACATATATATATCTCTCTATTTAATTGTGATATACAGTAATCACGATTTGTATATGACATGAGAAAATAGTTTTTTTATTTAATTTTTTTTATTAAATCTCAAACACCGCTAATTCAAAAATAGCTATTTTTTGTTTATGAGACTAATATTAGTATTTAACTTATAGTTCATAATAATAATAATAATAAAAGTGTACATAATGTACAGTACAATATTATTATTATTATTTTAAAAAAATATAAAACATTTGAAAAAATAAGATGAGCTAAATATACATTAATTTTTTTTTAAATAAAAGTGGGAGTAAATTAAAAAATTCCAACTACTTATTCAATGAGTGAAAAAATAAAATAAATAAATATAAAGAGATAGAGATTTTTTAATATTTAAAAATTAAAAAAAAAAGTTGTTTAACATACTACAAATATATATATAATATCTTTAAAAAATTAAATTACTTATTCATAAATAAAATATTTTAAACACAATTAAATTTTGTGTAGATCTTTTTATTAGTATTATTATTATTATTATTATTATTATTATTATTATTATATTGTATATACAATAGTATATATTTACTGTATATATACCTATATATTATAAATAAAATGTTATTTTTTGTTGTTATTGTTATCCAATGGCAAATCTGTACTAAAAGCACACTTAATTGAATGAAAGCAAAACAATCATTTTGTACTATAATTATGTGAAAAATGAGTGCTAATAATAGTGAATCTATTATTTTTGGGTATTATTATTATTATTATTATATTTTGAAGACGATCTCATAGACATAGACAGCTAATAAGTTAGCTAATAATTGTTTAGGAAATTTTTATTATTAGATATATATATTTATGTAAATAATATTTACATTGAGATTACTAATATAAACTCATGTGTAAATATAATTATGTAATCAAAAGTAAACTAAGATAATTTAATGAGAAAAAAATATATTGTTATCCTATAAATAAAAATGTAAGTGATTTTTGTTGCACACGATTATTAAATAAAAATAAAGTTATTTAACATTAATTACATTATATGTAATACAGTATTCTAGATAATAATAATAATAATAATAATACAATATCATATATATATAATATATAAAGTGTATATAAATATAAAAATAGTTTATAAATTATGTAATACATGTTTTGCAATATGAAAAATTTGCATTTTATAATAATATAATAATAATAAATATATATATATAAAGATGCGACCCATTTTAAATCAATATATTTTACTATAATATTTTTTGCAAAAAATAAAATGCAGATTATTATATAAAAAAATTTACAAATTTTTATGAAAACATATATATATATAAAACTTATAAATCGATACACACACTCTCACTCATGTTTTTTGTATAAATAGTTTATATTTATTTTCATATTCTGTATAAGATATGATAATCATGTTTATATTTTTCAAAAAATATTTAAAAATTAAAAATTCAATCATATCTTTATATTTTATTTTTTTTATATAGTGAGTCAAAACTCATCTCTATCATGGGTGCAGTGATTAACTATGAAAAATCGTGAATAACACCATTACTTCCTCATCATCTATCCTTACGATGATATACCCTATAACTTGATTTATTTTATTGCATTTTTTAATAATAATAATAATATTTACGTAACATACAAAAATATATTATATAATAAGTATATTATTTTATTTTTGAAAATAAATTTTTTTGTTTTATAAATAGTCATTATTTTTTTTATTATATTATAATACATAATTATAAAAACTACTCTCTCTCTCTCTCTCTCTCTCATTGAGATTCTCGCAATTTAAATACAATTTAATGATAGAAACTAAAAAAACAAAATGATTAATCACTAAACAACATAAAAACACATAATTTCTATAATAGTTCGTGAATTAATAAATATAAAGTTATAGTTGTTTTCATTTCTAATATTACTACAATACATACCGGTATATATATATATATAAATGTAAAATAAAATACAATAATAAAAATAACAATAATAACAATAACAAATGTAATACAAAATAAAATGTAATATATAGTACTTTCTCATTTTTTTATTTAATACTATTTAAATTTTTGTTATTAACTTATTTTTATAATACAGAAATTTATACTAATACTAATAATAAAAATACTGTAATATATTGTAGTAATAATAGTTACATGTATTATTTATTTTATTTATAAACTAAACTATTTTATATCCTGTGTGATTTTAACTTATTATAATTATTATAATATTTTTTGTTGTTGATTACCTGGGATCATTAAAATTGCACAAATAACAATGTGAAATTATATAATTTTTTTTGACTTAACAGTATTTTTTACTAATTTTTATTATGTGTGCACGAAACTAAAAGCAATAAAATGTAGTTTAAAATAAAATAACGTTAAAATAAAATAATAGTAATAATAATAGCAACAAAATAGTGTATATTTATAGTTGAAAATAGTTAGTTGTCAGTCATAAACGTACTGTACAATAAAAATAAATAAATAAATAATAGTAATAATAATAATAATACAGTAATTCATTGACAAAAATTATATCTACAAAAAAAATAAATAATAATCGTAACAATAATAATAATAATGTGCATTTAGTTTTTTTATATTTAAAAAGTAAAAGTTAGCATTAAATTTTTTTTCATAATTAAGTTATATAACTAAAATAGCTGTAAAATAAAAGTTTATATATACAGTATATACTATGATTTTAAAAAATAAAATAATATATAAATATAACTGTACACAACTTATTACCGGAACGGTTATATGTGGTTACTAAACAAAAAAAATAAAAAAAAAATAATAAAAGACAACTTATGGGTAGACAATGAAGGGGTTGGACCCATCCATTTACTTACTAATAATACATAACAATATAATAATCATAATTTTGCACTCTTGATCTAATTTGAATGGGTCTCTCTCTCTCTCTCTCTCTCTCTCTCTCTCTCTCTCTCTCTCTCTCTCTCTCTCTCTCTCTCTCTCTCTCTCTCTCTCTTTACATCTAATATAATATATATAACATATAATTACATATATTTTTTATTATAGTGTGTCTGTGTTATTGAGCACCTGTTGTGAGCTTATGTATATTCATTAAAAATAGAAACTTTCTCATAGTGTGTGTATGTGTGTGTGTATTATACCCAGTGCTTCTAACTATAAAAGTTTTCATCCCCTTTTCAATTCCCCCCCCTCGAAAAAAATAAATCTCAAAACAAATCTCAGATCTAAATATTAGACATTATACAGCTTAACAATATATATATACAGCTAATAATTTAGTAAATTATTTTATTTTTAAATCTAATAGAAAAAAACCATATATTTCCTATTAGTTATGAACAATAATAAATTAACAAAATTAATTCAATTTTTTTATTATTAAAATTTTTGCACAAAAAAAATAATAAATATATACTGCAAGTTCATGACCTATTATTAATATAATACATAATTTGTAATTTATTTGTATGTATAATATATTAGATTTATATATTTTATATTCATTCTGTATACTACTATATATGCTGCACAGGTATATACTCTCAAAAGATAATCCGGTATCTAATGTACTCCTTTTTTAGTGGTTATAACACTTTCATAGGAAATATTTATATAATTATTATTATAAAAAGAGATGAGTCTCTCTCTCTCTCTCTCTCTCTCTCTCTCTCTCTATGCTATAATATACAGTTACATTATACAGGTATAATAATATAATAGTATCCGTTATTTAATATTGTTATATCTAATATGTAAGCCATTGCACTCATTTTTAATGAAAAGAATATACTGTATATATTTGTATTGTAATGTTTGCCTGAGTTATGCTTATAAAGGACTGGTATTACTTGTTATGGTTTGAGAGGGTTTGAGAGAGAGAGAGAGAGAGAGAGAGAGAGAGAGAGAGAGAGAGAGAGAGAGAGAGAGAGAGAGAGAGAGAGAGAGAGAGAGAGAGGTTTGGGTTCATAAATAAAATGAAAAGTACTGAACAACAACTTTCTTAATAATAAACATAATACATAATGTATGTAAAAAAGGGGAGGAAAGGGATGTACATTAGAGAGTGAGTGTGTGTGTGTGAGAGAGAGAGAGAGAGAGAGAGAGAGAGAGAGAGAGAGAGAGAGAGTTTTAAGTTTGTATTTGGGTCTAAATATAGGAATTAAATTTTTTTTATAGAAGAATACATTTTTCTCTGGAAAAAATAATGATAGCTATAAAAGTACCACAATTTATATGAAATAAATTCAGATAACTCTCACTAACGATGAGCTAAACATCATTTCTAAATGAGAGGAAAAGTAGTGACAAAAAAAATTAATAATATTAATAATAATGAAATATCAAGTCAATTGAAATTGTTATTTATTATAATTTTGTATTAAAAGTATTTATTTATATATTGATCAGAAAAAATAATTATTATTATTACTAGAATAGTATTGATTTTTTTTCTTCAGCCAAACAAAAATATTTGATATTAAAAAAAATAATTAATTAAAAGATGCGGTTATTTCCCAAACAATACCGATGCTCGACATCGCTATTATTATTAGTACTCATATTAAGTCTAACAGTCAATGATAGTGTTGGCGACAAAAAAATGAAAGAATTAATGAAATTAATAAAGAAGTTGAAAAAGTTGGCACCACTTCTAGCGTTGGCTAAAATGAAATTGAAGCCCAAATTCGGAATACTTCCCATTCCTATACCACTACCCATACCACTCAAGTAAGTCAAATATAATTTATTAATTAAAAAAAGAAAGTTTTTTAAATATCTGAGTAAATCAACAAAAAAAAATAATGTTATAATATGATCTCAACAATTAATTTGGTGGACAATAAAACATTGCTTTATTTTGTTGTTGTTGTTGTTGTTTTTGAAAAAAATATAGCACTAACTAAATAAGTATACTAAATTTTTTTTTTAAATAATTGTTAATAATTTTATTATTATTTTTACTATTATTTTATTTAAACTATTTATAACTTTAATTGCTTTCCAAAAAATAGAAGTTTTGTTTAATTATATAGAATTTATTCCACTTTATTAGTATACCAATTATGGTTATAAAATATAATTTTAAAATATTTTTTAAACAACTATTACTTTAAATTTTCTTAATAAAATTATTTATGAGTCTATATATAAATTTATAGTTATTTGTTAGACTAATGAATTATGTTAGTACTTATTTTTAAAAAATAATTAGTACTTAAATAATAAAAGCAAGTTTATAGTCATCTAAAATGCTATTTATTATTGAATTTGATTTATTTGAAAATAATTTAATTATCTAAGTAAAAATCTCTATGAAAAATTAATAAATATTTAAAAAAAATAATTTACTTGTAAATGTCATATTTATTTGATCCTAATAATCTGTAATAAAATTATTTGTTACTTTTATCATAAATAATTTTTAACAAAAAAGTTAATTTTTATATTTAAATACTATCTTTTAAATAATAAGTAAATTTAATGATATATACAAATAATGTTTAAATAGTTTAAATATCTTGATTAAAAATTTTTTCAAATTTAAAATGCATTAGTGAATTTTTTAAAAAATCAATGTAAATGAAAATGAATATAATTACAGGTAAATTGAATTTTGAATAAATAAATATAAAAATATCTATTGAAAATATTTTTTAAAAAATATTTATTGAAATATGTCTATTATATTTCTAGAATTTTTATTCAAAAAAATTATTTAATATTTATATAATACAAATAAAAAATATATTTGTATTATATAATTTATTGTACTGTAATATCTGCAATCATAAAATAAATACATTGAAAATTTATAATAAATACTATAATTTAGTAATAAATATAATTGCATTACAATAAAAAAAATTCTTTTAAAAATCTATACAAAAAAAAATTATGCCAACTTTATTAGTTAAGAATTTTAAAATGTAATAATAAAAATGTCTAAAATTTAAAAAAATAATACTTAAAAACTGATCAAACCATAAATTCATACTATTTGATAATATTTAAATTAGCTAGATAATATTCTAGTTAATCTTTTTAAAAAAAATTAATGTATAATTTATCATATCTTAAAATAAACCTTATATCAAAAATTAATAAATTAACTCTATATTAGTTTCAAGATTTTTTTTTCTAAAAAAACAATTTTATAGACAATAATTACATTATATTATTATTAATAATTTAAAATAATTAGAATAGAGAAAAAGGAACCACCTATTTATATGACTAAACCCTCCTATGGCGGTGGAGGCGGCGGATATGGTATGGGAGGCGGAGGAGGTGGTGGCGGCGGCGGATATAGTATGGGAGGCGGAGGAGGTGGAGGTGGTTATGGAGGTGGCGGCGGAGGAGGAGGAGGAGGTGGCTATAGTATGGATAGCGGAGACAGTTATGAAGATATGGGTGGATACGGAGGTATGGATGACAGTTATGGTGGCGGCGGAGGAGGCGGCGGCGGTTACGGAGGCGGTGGTAGCGGAGGCGGCGGCTATGGAGGAGGAGGCGGCGGCGGAGGATATGGAGGTGGCGGCGGAGGAGGCGACGAATATGGTGGTGGTTATTCCGGAGAGGGTAGTGGAGGTTATGGTGGTGGTGGTGGTAGTGGGGGATATGGCGGAGGAGGTGATGGGGGTTATGGAGGTGGTGGTGGTGGTTATGGCGGTGGAGATGATAGCTATGGTGGCGGTGGCGGTGGTGGTGATGGAGGCTATGGCGGAAGCGGTGGGGGTTACAGTGGTGGCGGAGGAGGCGGTGGCTATGGTGGTGGTGGCGGCGGCGGCGGCGCTTATGGAGGTAATGAAATCGGTAGCTATAGAATTAATAAATCATTTATTAGTAATAATGGTGAACATGAAGACGTTGATATCATTGCAGATGTCGGCAAAAATGGCTACTAATTGATAGCTTTTAAAAAAAATCATTAAAATCGATGCCATTGTGTCTGAGCTGTCATTTCTGATGCTTTGCTTAACAAAAAAAAAATACTAAAATAATTCACTAACTCTTCACTCATTGGATATCATTAAACTCATCACTAAAAATCAGCATTTTTTCATTCATCTAAATAATCATTGTTTCATTTAAACAAAAAAATAAAACACAAAAAATTCATTATAAGAAAAATTTATGTAAATATATAGCAAAAAAAACAATTATTAAAAAAATTTCAGCCTAAACATATTATTAATAGTTTTGCTATTATTAATAATATTGTTTAAAACAATAGATATCTCTCATAAATAAAAGTCTCAATACTTATTAATTGCCAAAAATGTAACTAAAAATGAAATATTTCCTCAATATTAAGATTTGTGCTCAAAATTTATAAATATTTTTTTTATAGGAAGTTGTATATTGTTTTTACTTATATATAATATATATATAATTATTTTTTTCTACTAATTAGTTAGGATATTTTAAACTAATTAATTTAAATTTATAATTTTTTGTTTTAATATTAGCATTTTAAATTTTTGTTTTGATTACATTAGACACAATAGAAATGTTTTATACTATACATTACATTACTCATTAAATCATAACTCATCATAATCATCAATTTGTTAATATTATTAATTTGATAATAATAATATTTAACATTAATATGCAATATAATTATTATATACATTCTATAATAATATTCATTATTATTTTTTTAATAGTATACATTAAAAAATAATTTACAGTAACTTTTTTTATGTAAAATATTAATTTTAATTGTTATTTTTGTTGTTGTATTAATTTGATTATAAATATCTCCCTGATAATACAAACAATTCAAAACTTAAAAATACTTTTGTTATTTATATATTTAAAAAAAATTAAGACTATTTATACATTTAATTGTTTTGTTATTTAAACATATATAAAAATAGCAACATTTTTACTTAATTTAGCGGGTAATACATATACATATATAAACAAACATTTATGTACTGTATTTGTTAGCACATAATTTCTAAGTACTTTAAATTATTTGTTTAATTTGTTTTCAAAAAAAAATATTGTTTTATTGTACAAATTTCTAAAAAACAAATATGTTTATTATTTATTTTTAAAATTATCAATATTTATTTTAATTGTAAAAAAAATAATTTTACTAATAAAAAGTTATTGTAATAGTTAATTTTGTTTTCACTAATTAATTGCTTACAAATATTTACTATAATTCTATCATAGTATTTAATATATGATTAATATTAAAAAAAAGTTTCAAACTAAATAGATTATCATAATATATACTTAAATTTTAGTAAATTTTTAATTCATAGTCTAATGATTTGTATTTGTCATTAATATGTATGATATACTATATATATTTTCTTAAAAAATACAAGATATATTGTTTAATATGGAAATTTATTTTAAAATAAACTTACCTATATAAAAATATTTATAAATATGATAATTATTCAGCAAACAAAATAATATACATATTTTTAAGACAATATTTTCATATATGCGAACATACAGTATTAGTATTGGCATACATTTAAATATATATATATATATATATATATATTGTTGTATGCAAATTACATTGATTATAAAATTAAGTTTAATATTATAGTAAGTGTAAAAAATATTATCAACTTTATTAATCTATCAATCAATGATAATATAATCTTTGTAAATATTGATTTTAAAAATCAAAATAACAACAATTTATTCAAATAAATAAAAAGGAAGTTAACTAAAATAAATAATAATAAAATGTTAATCTTTATTTGATTTATTCAATACAAATGTTTTTTATTTTTAAAAACTTTTGAAAGCATTGTCAATCAAAATTTAATATACAGTATTATATTACATTATTTAACATAATTTATAATTTTTTATAGGATTTTATTTTTATCTACCGTAAAATCTTAATTATAAGTCGATCTGGTGTATAGGTCGCAGGTAATTTATTAATAAAAAAAATAATAATTTTGTTGTATAAGTCGCACCTCATGTATTAGTCGCATGTCTATATTTTTAACCTAGATCACTTTTTTTGTTGTATAAGTCGCGACTTATACAATAGATTTTACGGTAATTTTAGTAAAATTCATGGCTAACATTAAAAAAACGGTTTTAAAGTTTAAACTATAATTAACAATAAAATAACATATAATTGACTAATAAAAAATTAGTATTTACTTAAAAATATATACACATATTACATTGCATATATGTATACAGTAATATATAAATACAGGTATACTGTATATTATATAAATTTAAAACTATAAATATATAGTACAACTGTCCACTACTATTGTGTGTCCAAATAATGAGTGTCCAGTTGTGTCAAAACAAGATTGAGATAAAAAAACTATAGATATATACTATGTATATATATATATATATATACTGTATATACCGGTACTTATGGTATGGCATTTGACATGACATGACATTACATGTGAAATGAGGCGTTAAAATTGCAGCTGCAGTTTGGACACCAATTAGAGAAATTGGAAGTTATTTAGTGTTTTAATTATTATCTATTAATATAATAATATAAAAGCATATGTTAAATGTCATGATTAACGACTTTATATATATAAATTTATATACCTATATATATATATATATAGTAGACTTCAATACTTTTGTACCTACTTTTTTACACACTATACACTACACTATTACAACTACAGTATTAATAAAAATAATAATTTCTATTATACTATTTGTTACATTAAAATATTATTTGTCTAAAATGAAACAAAAAAAATAATATTAAATATATATATATATATATAATAGTTACCGGCACATTATATGAAAAATTTTACTATACAAACATATTTTATCATTTTTGTTTTACATTAATTTTATATTATATATATCATATTTAACATAGACACTTAATATAATTATTATATTATTGTTTCTTTAATACAGTGTATATAAAAGTCCTAATTATTATTATAATAATTATTATCATTATTACATTTTTTTTATAATATTATTTAATGTTTATTATTATTATTTAACTAAACGTTAATAATTTTTTATATATATTTTTTAATTTTTACTAAAATAACTATTAAAAAATCGTCTTAACAAGTGTTTTCATATAAATATATACAACTATATAAATATATTTTTGTAATATAACTATATATGAACTTCATTTGAACCTTATATTTGCCATAAAATACTAATTGAATTTTTTTTATTTAATGAATTTAATTCAAATAAATTAACTAAATTTTCGTCATAAATTTTTGTGACTTTAGTAAAAGTTTATAATATATTTTAGTAAATATATAGTATATTATTGTGAATATATTATTCACTTATAAATAAATAAATTTTATATATAAATGGAAAATAATTTCGAAGAAGTTGTTTGCAGTGATATTAGTAATAATAATAATAATCTTAGTATTAATAATCTTAACAATAATACCATTATTGATGACAATGTTATTGATAATACCAATACTGACGACCAAATTATTGATAATATCAACAACGGTATTGAAAACGACGATAGACTACAACAAAGCACTTCTTCGGCATTTATTGACAATCAGTCGGTAAATGAGTTCATCAGCGAAGAGGAGGCAGCAATCGAGTCGATTAGTAGACCCACTCTTTTACACGAAAACAATGACAACGAAGACAATGATGACGACGACGATGACGAAGAAGAAGAAGAAGAAAAGTGTCATTTAATAACTTTAACCAAAATGGAGGCGTCGGATGTCGTCTGGGATCAGTCTATCCGACATCACGAAAGATACGGTACAGAAAACATGTATTTGGATCCAGACTTATACTCAAATGATGGCAAAGACGAGAATAGTGTTTGCGATTACTCACCGGCGCTGGCATTGGCGTCATATGTGTCACAACAGATGAATGGCCAGACATTGGATGAACAACAAGTGTCTGGAGGAGTGCACAACAAATCTCAACCATATTTGAATGACTCGATTCATACAACAAACACTTTGCAGTCGACGTCGTCGTCATCAACAACAACAACAACAGATGTCAAACACACTTCTTCTTCGACAACAATCAATGATTATAACGCGTGGAAACAGTTGTCTATAAACAGCATAAATGGATATCAATCGACTGGTAATAATAATAGTAATAGTAGTAATAGTGCGACAAAATTAGGACTAAATAATAGTGATTATAATTATTATACGAGATTTGCCACTGAAAGACAACAACGATATCCGGACGCCCGGTCTCTGAGAGGACGGGGCGCCCACTCGTCGATGACTAAAGAAGAGCAACGCAAGAGTGCCTGCGATAGGGAAAGGACTCGTATGCGAGACATGAATCTGGCCTTTGATGCGCTCAGGTCTAAGTTGCCGTGTCTTAAGCCACGAGGCAAACGACTGTCTAAAATTGAATCGCTTAGGTATTTGCACTGATTATTATATAATTGATTTCAATTATTTATGAACAATTCATTTTAATGAATTTATTTCAATTGTTTTTATTTTTAAAAATTTCAAGAATGGCCATCAGATATATAGCACACTTGCAGTCAATATTGGCCACACCTGACGGTGAAATTAACGGTTCGTCCGCCATAACCTCACAGCCTTATTGTCCGCCCACTAACAACAGCTCGTGTACGCGATTGTGGAGAATAAATGTAATTTTAATTGTTTTTTTTTAAATTTTACTTTAACTATTGATAATTAGTTTTGAAATTATTAAATTATATTGTTTGTTTGTTTGTTAATAATTTTATTGTCAATGTTTAATATTCATATATCTATATATTTATATAGGATCGGGTAGACTATTGTGTGGGACAACAGTCATATCCTTGTCCCGAAACTTATCATCCGTACGAAAATAGTTATTACTGGTGGACACCTAATATTAATGGATCATATAGTGGTTACCAACAATGATCTATACTACTGTATTATATATATACTGTATTTTTAATAATAATAATTAATTTTTAAATGTTTTTTTAAAAACAAAATGTTTAATTTTTTATATAATGTTTTAAACTAAGATAATAGTACTTTTGCTAATATTTTTGTAATTACTATATATTTTTTTATATACAATATATATATATATATATATTGAAAGTACTGTACAATAGGATAACTTATATTAAGCCAAATATGTGAATATCTAGTCTCAATTAAAAACACCTGTCATGTAATTTATTATATAGATATATAAATTATATTATTTGTTTTAATATATTTATATTTCAGACCTATTTATTTTTGTATTAATGTCGCAATAATTTATTTTATTTTTTTTGTGAAAATTATTTTCTACTAGTATATTTTGAAAAAATATTTAATAAGATATTAAATAAATTACTGTAGTTGTAATTTTTTAAAAAAATATCTCATTTTTATTTTGAATAAAAATAAATATCAAATAGTCAAACAATTTTTGTTATCAATTTCAACATTATTAAATTATTTATCCAATCACAAACACCCACATACAATTAAATAAATTTTTTTTTTGATAATATTAATAAAAATAATCAGTAATAAAATAATTTAATTGTTTAATTATAATATTATCTAGATATATAGTAGATATGTTATTTAAGTTACGCCTGTATAATATAAATTATTATTTTTAAAAAAAAAATCTATAGTTTGCTACTTGATTTGCTAGGGTAATATACTGTATAGTTATATTCTGTACAGTATATTATATAAACAAATATTTATTTTATTTTTTAAAATAAAAGTAAAATTTCAACATTAATAAAAAATTATATTAATATAATATTAAAGGTTTTAACATTTACAAAAAAAAATTATTGCTCAAATATACATGTACTACATATACAATACATAAGTATAGTTACTGTAGAGTTATAATGTACAGTATATTAAAATATTTAGTTTATTATCATATTATTATTATTATTATTATTATTACTACTATAGCATTACACTATTATATATTACTTGAAAATAAAAACTTGTTATTCAATAATATCCAGCATTAATACAGTAGTAGTAATAATAATACGTTATAAATATAACCACAAAAATTCACTGATTGATCAAATCGTAAGCTAAAAACGTGCCAATCATTAGTCAATATATATTCAACCAATTAGATTGAGTTTCGTTTGTTATTTGAAATAATAGTGTCTATTATTAAGCGTTGAGTCAATTTGTTTGCCTTTTTTTGTATATAATTTTCATTTATTTATTTATTTAATTAATTTCCTAATAATAATAATAATAATGTAATCAATTGGTCGACAAATAGTAATAATATTAGTGTTCAATGAGTGTCCAAACAAAATCAATTTTCAGCGAAATGCTGGCCAAACTAGAGACTAAATTACCGATAATTAGTAATAATAACAACAACGACGAGGACAACAACTGTGCGGTAATCAGCCAATTGTTCGGTACGACTATCGAGTCGCTGGACGACTATTTTCTGGTCAGACTATTCAGCTATTTGTCGATTCGCGAAAAGTTGGCCATCGATCGTGTGTGCCGTCGGTGGCACACTATTATCAGACATATGGTCGAAAAACAGACGGGACTGTGTACTACCTGTCCGACCGATGACGATGCCTACTGTTTGGACGCTCAACGGGATCATTGTGTCGTCGGTGGCGATATACGACCGGCGCTCAAACAGACCAACGGCTGGATGTATGACTTGACGGATAGCGTGTCCATTGATAATCTGAAATCAATTGCCGATAACTGTCCGTATGTTAAATGTCTGCATTTGAGTCACTGTATTATTGACGCCAACTCTTTGCGCCAATTGGTTGAAATGTTTCCCGATTTCGAGTGTCTTCATCTCAAAAGTAATGTCTGATTAAAAACAAAATTGTTTTTTTGTTTGATAAACGAAATACTAATGTTTTTTTTCTGATTTGTTTTTATAGCTTTTGTCTTGAAGTCCACAATTGATGACCAAAGCAACAGACGCTTTCTGGACGAATGGACAGAAATAGGTAAAGTATTGGCGCCAGTCATACGCCATCTGTCCATTGATCCGCACTACGAGTTTCGGCTCAACGAAAGTCAAATGAAATGTCTATTGCAAGACATGAAACTAATCGAAGAGTTTCGCTGCGGAACTCATTTCGATCGCGAAGTTGTCGGCAATTTTCTATCGAGTCTACCGAAGCGTTGCCGAGTTTTCTGTAGTTTAGGTATTATATTATTTTGTTTTTTTTAAGTTTTTTTTATATACTGTTTGTTATTATTAATGATTTTCAATTGAATTTCTGGATCAATAGGTCGCGAGATGTCAATCGACGGTTTGTCTCATTTGGCCAAAAATCAGGGCGAAGTGATGACACATTTGATCTATTTTTCGGTATCCATACGAACAGCTGAGTCGTTGATCAAAATCGGCCAAAGTTTTCAAAATCTAGTAAAACTACGAATCAATCTATCATTTAATGAGACAATACTGACGTCTTCATCACCGATATCTAGTTTGACTAAACTAAAAGAGTTTTCGGTAGATATGAATACCTTTACAGATACACACATCGATGATGGCCTCATTTGGTGCATCAAAGACGGACTAAGTTCGCTGGAAATGCTTGAGATTACTCGCGCGTGTCCATCAAATCGGGCGTTTAGCGCTATCGGCGCGTGTTTACCGCAATTAAAAAAACTAATACTACGAATCGTTGAAATCCAGTGCACGTGCGACTCGCCCAGCGATCTGACTCGCGAGCGTACCGATCGGTACAGTTGTGCCACTTGTCGTGAGGCCAGTTGGCTATCGGTGGCTAACTATAATAATCTAAAAGAGCTACAATTGCTTAGTTTTTATCATCGAATCAATGCACCGAAAACGATGCACCAGGAGTTTACCAAACAGTTGCCATTGTTTAAACAGTTAAGACAATTGACTATTTTTAGATATGATTTGTCACAATCGGATCTATTGACACAATTGAATCACTTGATGACCGATACAGAACTAAATGATATATTTAGATTGAAATTAAAGTCAATACCTATTACCGAGTCGTTGAAGATTAAGACACCGAAAGTTATTATAACTCGCGACTCATTTATGCTATAGTTATATAATGTATATATTTATATTAAATACAATATTAAAAGTATTGGTAGATATGGTGTATGCATTTGGGAGAGTATTCAATTAAACAGGTAATCGACTCATTAGTTTATATTAAATATCTGATAAACCATACATTCAATTTAAAAATGACCAAGAACATAATTGTAGATAATATTATACTCAACATTATTGTAATTGGTCATTTTTTTATTAATTGTAAAACTAACTAGATAATAGCATCGACATAAAATAGTTGACTATTATCTAGTTAATTTTACAATTAATCAAAAAATGACCAATTACAATAATGTTGAGTATAATATTATCTACAATTATGTTCTTGGTCATTTTTAAATTGAATGTATGGTTTATCAGATATTTAATATAAACTAATAAGTGGAATACCTGTCTAACCGAATACTCTCCCAAATTTATACACCATATCTATCCATACTTTTTACACTTTTAATTTAAATATATTGTATAATATGGTATACATGTCTATTTGAGTAGTAAAACTAGTTTACTAATTTGTGTGTACTAAATAGTTTATTTAATTATTTAAAAAAAATTATAACTAAATTTATCTTAATTACTATAAGTCGTTTGTTTTGGGAATATCAATAACTGATAATTATTTTCTAATATTTTATATTTATATTCAGATAATTTGCAATTTTTGTTGATTACTATTTATACTAATTTGTTTTAAAATATTTATGTATTGTATACTATAAATATATTATTATTATTATTATTAATATTATTAATATATTAGGGTATTTCCTAATTACAATTTTTTAAAGGCTATTTTATAGCCAATAGTCTCAATTTAATGCCGGATTTATTTTTCAATTATATTATAAGTTATTTTGTTAATAAAAAATATTTTAAAAATAATGATTGCATTAGTTATTTTTCATTTATATTATGATATTAATACTGTAGCAGACATTTATTGGTAATTTAATTATCAGTTATATCATTAATTTATAACAAATAGAGACAAATATTAACCAGTAATAATTTATTAAAAAGTTTAAATAAATATATAATATTAATTTATATATATATAATTTATACCTGTATGTAATACATAATAATACATATTTTGTTTTCAATACATATGTAAACAATACACATGTAAGTACAATATATAATGATTATATGATATTTATTCATTATTGTAATACAATTATAATAATGATTATATAATTGAAATTTATCTACAGTTCAACCCCTCTAAAATAGCACTATAATTACTAGTAGTTTTTTTTGAATAACAATAATCATAAAATATATTTTAACTATACTATACTGTTTATCTAACAGTTTATTTAATTTGATTTTTAAATTGCTAAACACATGTATAAAAAAAACGGAAAGAAAAAAAATGTTAAAAATACACAAATATAATGTATATAATAATATTATTGATAATAAAAATAAAATAATTAATATTAAAAAAAATGATAAATATTTTTCTGTGTTTAATATGATAACATAAAATTACAATTTTTAAAAGCAAATCAAAATCATGTGTGAAAACTTTTTTTAAGTTTAGTTTTATCAGTATTATTACTGTTGTCTTGTTTTTTATTTGTTGTAACGTTTAATTTCATTGAATTTGTATGAATAGAAATCATATATAATTGAATTGTATATTCATTTTTTTAAAAAATAGTGATATATCACTACTAATTAAATTTGAAAAAAACTATATATATATATAAATGAAAAAAAATTTGATGTGTTTTGTTGTTGTTGTCGATCAGCACCACAAACATGACTAACACACATCTGATTCCTCCCCCCTAAAAAATTAGGGGAAACAAAATACCCGAAAAAAAATTTATTCAAACAGACAACAGGTGCGCACCAGAGCCTCGGAGACCACGTATGGGTCGCAATTGGACGACGGGCGTCGGTCCTCGAAATAGCCGAAACCGTCGTCGGCCACCTGTCGCGGAATCCTAACGCTGGCGCCTCTGTTGGCCACACCGGCAGCAAAAGTGTTGATATTTGACGTCTCGTGACGACCAGTTAGCCGACGGGCATTGTCGACGCCGCCGCGCGGATCATATTTAGCGATGTGTTTGGCGTGATTTTTGCGCAGACACTCAATAGCCTTCTCGATCTCAGCCAAACCACCCTTTTCTCGCATGGCTTGTGTACTGAAGTTGGAGTGAGCGCCGGCACCGTTCCAGTCGCCAACAATCGGCTTCGGGTCGAATGTTACGCCAATATGGAAGTCTTCGGCCACTCTGTGCAATAGGAATCGGGCCATCCATAGGTCGTCACCAATAGTAACACCTTCACAGGGACCCACCTGAACACAATAAGAGGACAGACAGATAGAAACAATGTCTTAATAACAAAACATACATTTACTATCAATTTGAAGACATACCTGGAATTCCCATTGAGATGGCATTACTTCAGCATTTTCACCGGCAATGTTAATACCGGCATAAATACAGGCCCTATAATGAGCCTCAACCACATCGCGACCGAACACTCGGTTGGCGCCGACACCGCAATAATAGGGTCCCTGTGGTCCCGGAAAGCCACCAGTGGGCCAGCCCAACGGTTTGCTGCGGTCGTTGCCGTCCAACAGTGTGTACTCCTGTTCAATGCCGAACCACGGGTGCTGGTCCTGAACCATATCCATTACCAATTTGCAACTGTGTCGATGGTTAGAATCGGTCGGGTTCTTGTTGTATCTGATAGTTTCGCACATAACCAGTTTGTTGTCACCGCCGCGAAACGGATCGTTATACAACTGAACCGGTAATAGATAGACATCGGCATTGCTTCCTTCGGCCTGACCAGTGGACGAGCCGTCAAAGTTCCAGATGGGCAGCTCTTCGGCCTGTTTTGGCACAAACGATACGGTCTTTGTCTTAGCCCTGACGTGCTCTCCGGTGCCATCGATCCATACATACATTACTTGAACCTTGTCTTTGGGCTGATTGAGGGCCAGATATTTGCCCAGAATTGTTGCATTGGATACCAGCGATGTTGTCTGCATTGTTGATATTGTTGTTGTCTTTGATCTTTAATATGATTTCTTTATTTAAATGAATAAATGAATTTTAAAATATATATATATATTTAAAAAATGTCTGCTATTATAAAATTAATTAAATTTTTAATATGAATCTCAATATATAATGTTATATTTATTAGAGAGATAGTAATGAAACATTTGGTGTCAAAATCAATAGTAGTTTTATAATTTGGAAAATCGACAAAATTTATATCAATTGTTAGTCAAGGACTTCACAAAATGAAATGTTTAGATAAAAACTTAAAACAGGATTAGATTTGAGGGACAAACACATCATTAATGGCAAAACCGAGAATATACTGTAAAATAAATTATATATACAGTATTTATTTAATATAATTTAATATAATATAGTTATATAGAATATTAACTATAATTATTATTATTTATTAAATTCATCATTAAAAATGACAAACAATTTCAGTCACTCCTACTGTATATGTTTAGTAGTGACTTACCATACGATATAATAATAATAATAATGTTTTCAATAATAATTATATTTTGGTTTACTTTATTTGCAAATAATAGATTGAAAAAAAATATTGTTTTATGTATAAAATAATAATAATACTATATTTATTGAGAGATAGGAATCAATAATGAGAAAAAGGTTGTCATTATTATGTTTGTGTTCCCAATATAGCATTATTTATATTAAATTTTATTATTATTATTATTTTATTAGTACTTTTGTATGTTTTTGGATAACTTTATAATCGATTAATAGTAAAATAAAAAAAATGAAAAATCGACTTTTAATTGTATAATTGTGTAAATTTTTATTTTATATTTAAACAGCAAAAGTCATATGATAGGTGTTTTTCCTTAATTTTTATTATTTATTTCATTATCTTATAAACTTATCGACAAATAGTTTAAATAGATAAAAGTGAAATAATGTTTGGCTATTTGAATAAATTATGTTTCATTATTATTATTATTATTGCAATAATTAATTTAATAATATGTTTTCTACAGTAAGTGCAAATAATATAAATTTATAATATTTTTTTAAATATCATATCGTATTTTCATATTCATTCACATATTTTCATTTTAAAAATGTTTTAGCTAATAAGCTGATATCATTGTAAACATGATATACAAACAAATAAAAAAATTATAATAAATTAGATTTAATTAAAAATTAATGCACTGCTTATCAAATGATATATAAATAAATAATATAATAAATCAATTGTAAAACAAAAAAAAAATAAGTAGAAAGTCATATATAAACGCTGTCAAATAAATGCTGTTTATTAGTCATATTTTTAAATATTGAAAAAAATTTGGTATATTTCTAAACAAACTTAAATATATAAAACAGAAAATCATTTAATATTTATGATAAAATTGATGATAAGAAATAATATTATAAAATATTTTTATTAATAATTAACCAAACTTTCACTCTAAAAGTTGTTTTGATTGAAATTATTTTTATTATATATTTTTTGTGTGCAATAATTAACTAAATAATTACTCGCAAATATCTGAGAGTACTATAATTTTCGGAGATAATTATTTTGTTTGTTAAATAATTATATGTTAACTTATTGCAGTGATTTATATATATATATTTTAATGAATTTCGCAATTATAATAAGCCTTAAAAAAATAATTTGCTCAAAAAATTTTTCTAATTAATATCTATAAATATTTACCTAAGTTGTAAATTTTTATATAATAATTATAATTAATTTTATTTAATAATAACTATAAAAAAAATATTATAAAATTATTTTTCAAGTACTTTAATTAGTTTTTTTTTCAAATATGAAAATCAAATTCTAATCAGATATTAAACTAGACTTAAGTCTAGTTTTTTTTATTCAATAGTAGAAATTTTTCAAAAAAAATATCATAATATTCACATGTTTTATGAGTTCAATCGATTATTAGTTACATAATTGAAGGGTCTGTTCAATATATGTGAAATTTTACTGATAATTAAATACTTAATAAAAAAAATTATATGATAACTCAAAAAAATCATGAAATTATTAAATGACAATATAATTGCTTATTTTATCATATTCATTAGTTGTAGAAAAAAAATTAAACAAACAAAAAATTAACAATCAAAAAATAATTAGTAAAACATCCATTAACTATATTTTTAAAAAACGGGAATTTTTTTTATTATAAAAATAGATGTGTTATAAATATTTATTAGTAAATATTTTTTGTTTGAATAAAACAAACAAACTTTTTAACTAAATAAATTACATATTACTGTATTTAAAAAAAATCGTATCATATTTATACTGCAATTTAATTTGATTGATAACATTTGCTTAAATAAATTTCATAATTATTAAAAAATTAAATTAGAAGTATTTAATAGAAAACTTCAACACATCAAATGATATCAAATTTAATGCTTACGTATTTAAAATTAAAAAAAAATTGATAATTTTTTTTAAAAAATAAATGTAGTCAACAAGTCTTGCAACTCTTTATAGCCAAAGTGTGATTGAGTGAGTGAGAGAGAGAGAGAGAGAGAGAGAGAGAGAGAGAGAGAGAGAGAGAGAGAGAGAGAGAGAGAGAGAGAGAGAGAGACTATTCCCCAGAAAATTACATAAAAACAACATTTATTTTATTATTATTAAGGCTATGGAAACACTCGGTTATCATTGAAATTAAATGCCTGAACTAAAAGGGCAATCCTTTTCCTTGAAAACAGTTGTGTTTTATTTTGTGCAAAGAATTTATAATGAATTTTATGTAAAAAAAATTTTTTTTTAATAATATTAATAATTAATAATATTTGAATAATTTAAAACTTTTAAAAATATTAGATAGAAAAAGTATACTCTAAATTATAGTAATGTACAGAAAATAATATAAACTGACATTTATGACATTTTTTAAAAACTAATAAATTAATTGTATAATTATTAATTATTAGTAAAATTATTTAATAATTTATGTTTAAAAATTGTTACCATGTAGAAATCTCAAAATTCAATAATAAACAAAATTTTTTAAAGTCATTGAATAGTACAGATTAAGTTTATTTTAGATAATTAAACCGGTATTTTTACCGGTAATTTACCCTGGATAAATTTTTTTTATCTAGTCAACAACAAAATTAATAATAATACTAATAATAACAAAAAACTAAACCATATTTTCCTAATTAAATAAAATAAAACTATATAATAAATTATTTTTTTTAAAAATTGAATGATTGAAATAACAGATATAATGTTACGTAATATTACTGTAAATATATATTAGTGAGGAATCACACCATACACTACCTCTCTATTGATGGCTAGAGATGATAATTGTTTGAAAAGTGTATTTAAAATATTATATATATATATATTTTAGTGATATTTTTTACTACACAGTAGTACAAACTTATAGTAATATTTTTTTGTTGCTGTAAATTAAAATTAAACATTAATTTAAAAAATAAATGATTTAGTATTGATATTTCATGGCTAAAGTTCACCAGTACTGAGACATATGACAAAACTGTACAGTAGTTTAACAAAACATTTACTGACTCTTACAGTATGTTATAATAAATAATTCAATAATAATAATAATTTGAGTGAAATCCTTGACTATACGACAGCCGCGCTGGCGATCAATACATTTCCAGTGGTTGAAGAAAGTGCTGATGAAATGTAGGGATTTGTTGCTAAAACTGTCGCTTAATTTTCAGACACTAAATGCTTATATAAATTAATAATAGCTTTTATAATATAAATAATAACTAAAAGATATACATTGTATTTACAATTAATTAGTTTATAATTGTTTACCAGTTTAAATAAGATAGTACAACAACAAAAACAAATTCAGCTAGGTATGGTTAATTAAGGCACAAAATTGATTTAGTTAATTTATTGTTAAATATGTTAATGGAGGGTACCTCCTCAATAAAAATTGTTGAAAATAATTTTTTAAAAATAGTTAAAAATTAAGTTTAGTTGTTTTGTATTCAAAAATACTGTAGTTTTGTTAACTAAATGTTTTTTTATATAGTTAAAATGTATTGATATAATAAAACAATATCTATTTGATTATGGATAAGTTGTAATATATATTTTTTAGGAAATATTTTTGTAATAAAAATAAATAAAAGATTTTTATATAAAAAAACCTTACTTCTGAGAAACCATTCAAAATAAATTTAAATCAATATTTTTGTTTTAAATAAAATTTTCACGACTAATGTTTTATATTATTTTTTTTTGTTAACATTGGCAAAGACTTGGATGGTTTCGTTGTCATAGACTATATATATATTTTAAACTTAGTTTTATTTTTTAGTTCAATTGATCTGTTTATTGCATTTAGTTTATACTGTATTTGACATTTAAATTAATTTGTTTTTTTCTAATTTATTCGATTAAAATAATAAAAAATTTAAAGCATTATAAATAATTAATTTTTTATATTATAAATAATTGGCTAAACATCTAAATCCTAAAACTAATCTTATTAAATCTTTTTATATAACATATGATATTTTTAAAAAATTAGGACAAATAGTTAAAAGGCTTAAAATAATAATCCACAAGTAATTGAATAGATTTTATTCAAATTAATTATAAATTTAACTAAATTTCTATTAAATTATTTTGCATTTTATTTTTTTATTGCCATTTATACAGTATATTAAGTATATTTGAACTATATTTGAAATATTACTTTTGTTATAAAAAAAAATTAAACTTAAAAAAACTTTAATATAAATTTTAAACATATTTAGAAAATAAACAAGCAGATATTAAATAATTAATGTTCAAAATTGACATATGTTCAATATTGATAATAAATTTAGTTTATTTAAAAAAACCTTTTCTAAACTTTATTTATTATTATTATAATATATTTGATTTATAATAAATTTTTTATTTGAAAATTTCTTTAGTAACAATTAGCATAGCAACAAATCGACTAAAATATTGAATTAATGATATAATAATAATTATTATTATTTGTTATGCTTTATTCAAGTGTTTTCTAAAGTGTAATAAATTGCAAACAATATCGAAAAATAACAATTAAATTTTTATTTTATTTTCAAACAATATTATCAGTATATTGTTTTAATAAGTTTTATGTACTCAAAAAAATACTAAACAAATAGAAATATTTTAATAAATATAGTTTATTGTTACTTATGCTGATTAACATTTTTTAAATTGACTTTT